ACTTCATGCTTCAGTGAAGAAAAACATTAATATCGAGAAGACTCGCCCCAGAATCATAAATCTAAAACTTTGACGTTTTAAACGAAATATATATAATATATTTATATATATATATAATGCACATAGTACATCCCTGTTCACATAATGTAACCTATTCACCTATGTGTTATACCAAAGGACCTGTTTACCTGTCTTACCGTTATAATGGGTGGTCTACTTACCCAGGTCAACTCGTTATAGTCATGTGTTTAAAACAATTCGTGTTATATCTGGATTGCACTGTACCCCGCATATACTATATATTATTCTTGTTTCCCCTGTTAATTATACGGAATGTGAACTGATTGTTACTGAAAATGTTTCCTCATTTTATGGTGTTTAACCCATGGTGTTACCTGTATTCTGAGTGTGTGTTGTCTTCCAATGTTCGAGCCCATCTCAGTGCTCAAAGCATTTGCCTCCCTAACATGTAAGTGCCTAACTAAGGAGACAGGTTACAAGGCGGCAATTGATCCCCGATGGCCCATCTGGAGATCCTCATCCCTTACATCCCAGTTTCTTGTCTTCATGTCCCAGCTCCTTGTCCTCATATCCCAGCTCCTTGTCCTCATATCCCAGCTCCTTGTCCTCATATCCCAGCTCCTTGTCCTCATATCCCAGCTCCTTGTCCTCATATCCCAGCTCCTTGTCCTCATATCCCAGCTCCTTGTCCTCATATCCCAGCTCCTTGTCCTAATATCCCAGCTCCTTGTCCTCATGTCCCAGTTCCTCGTCCTCATATCCCTTGCAATGCGTTAGTCAAATAGGCTTATCGTTGTCTCCTGCTAATTACCTTTCCTCCTTTCGTGTCCCTCACCTCTCCCTCACCTCTCCCTCACCTCTCACCCCCCTCACCAGTAGAGAAAGTCCAAACGTATGGAATCCTTTCAATATGTCACTAAGTGACTGTTGACCAGACCACACACTAGAATGTGAAGGGACGACGGCGATGTTTCGGTCCGTCCTGGACCATTCTCAAGTCGATTGTGAGAATCGACTTGAGAATGGTCCAGGACGGACCGAAACGTCGTCGTCGTCCCATCACCTTCTAGTGTGTGGTCTGGTCAACATACTTTAGCCACGTTATTGTGACTCATCGCCTGCATAAGTGATTGTTTTCCAACATGAGCAATGTTGCAAACGATGAACATGTTCCAAATCAATGTGGGAAATATAAAGCTGCAGTGGCTTTATGCAAGGTCCAAAATCTTATCTTTGGGTTCTCTATGCTACCCCTATGTCCTTCCCTCTCCCATCTCCTTTCCTATCCTCTCTCCCCTCTGTCCCTTCTTCCACACCCCTCCACCTCTACATTCTCTCTCCCTCATCCCTTTTTTTTTGTAAATATTTATATGTTTACACATTTGAGTGATCATAGTGAGCAGTGCTACTAGCTGTGTGTGTGTGGTGGGTCGTGCTGCCTACACACACACACACACACACACACACACACACACACACACACACACACACACACACACACACACACACACACACACACACACACACACACACTACAAAATTCTCAGAGAAATTGACAAAGACAAAAACACTTTTTTAACACTGGTGGGACGCGAACAAGGGGACACAGGTGGAGACCGAGTACCCACATGAGCCGCAGAGCCATTAGAAAGAACTTTTCCAGTGTCAGAGTAGTTAACACATGGAATGCATTAGGCAGTGATGTGGTGGAGGCTGACTCCATACAGTTTCAAGTGTAGATATGATAGAGCCCAATAGGCTCAGGAACCTGTACACCAGTTGATTGACAGTTGAGAGACGGGACCAAAGAGCCAAAACTCAACCCTTGCAAGCATAACTAGGTAAATACACACACACACCCATACACCAACCCACCCACACACCCCCTACAAACACACACACACACAGTGAGAGGTGATGGTGTGAGAGAGTATGGTGATGATAGTGACTGTCCCAGCGAGATACTAACACCTTCCGTCTTTCCATGCTCTCGTATCAAGGCCACAACAGCGCCCCGTCGTCCGGTAAGAGTTCCTCTACACTTTTCTTACTCCTATCAATGTTATAGATATTTTTTAGCAACAGTGAAACGTTATTTTAGATTCAGCTACTGGGAACAAAAAAGTTGCAAGTAGCACGGGCTATGGTGAACCCGTAGTGGACTTACCTGGCACAGGAGCGGGGCAAGTAGCACGGGCTATGGTGAGCCCGTAGTGGACTTACCTGGCACAGGAGCGGGGCAAGTAGCACGGGCTATGGTGAGCCCGTAGTGGACTTACCTGGCACAGGAGCGGGGCAAGTAGCACGGGCTATGGTGAGCCCGTAGTGGACTTACCTGGCACAGGAGCGGGGCAAGTAGCACGGGCTATATACATATAGATCGGGGCTATACAGATAGCTAAGTTAGATCACACTAGCTATAAAAATTAAAGCATTTAACTGTTCTGAGAAAGACAAAGCAAGGGCCCAACCTCTCCTCAGGCCAGGCTCGTTAAAGCGGTGGCTGACACCCCCCCCCCCAAAACACATTCATCAATTTTAACATATTGTGTACTGGAAAAAAAGGTTTGTTTCCATAAATTTGCATTATTATTATAAAAGGGAAAGGGGGTACCACCTCTGGTTGGAAGGTGACCCACGGCCTCGGAGAAAGGTACACACGGCCTCGGAGAAAGGTACACACGGCCTCGGAGAAAGGTACACACGGCCTCGGAGAAAGGTACACACGGCCTCGGAGAAAGGTACACACGGCCTCGGAGAAAGGTACACACGGCCTCGGAGAAAGGTACACACGGCCTCGGAGAAAGGTACACACGGCCTCTGAGAAAGGTACACACGGCCTCGGAGAAAGGTACACACGGCCTCGGAGAAAGGTACACACGGCCTCGGAGAAAGGTACACACAGCCTCGGAGAAAGGTACACGTAACACATCCGAAGGGTTTTGGGTCTCCTCCAATGCAGTTTGCATGTCATTTTGTACTACCCCTCGCCTTCCTTTTGTTTTTTTGCTTTATTAGATACTTAAAGATTACAGCTAGCCCGCCAAACACACACCGAAACTACGACGTTGATACAACGTTCGAACAAGTGTTAACACCACCTAACCAGTTATAACAACCAATATAACAAGTTGTAACAACGTTCTAATACGTCATAAACACGTTAAGCCAAGATGTAACAACTTTATTACAAGTTGTAACAAGCGGGAAAATAGAGACAGTTTCGGTTTGTGTTTCCAGGGATAAGTTGTACATTGGTGAATACAACGAGTGCTTAAAAGTTATGGATCTCTTGGAGCTCCTCCGCTTCCGGACAGGAACCGAGGACGCAGCAGGCGTTTCCCCTTTGGAGTGCCACACTGAGGCGCTGAAACTAATAACTGTTTTAACTATATGCAAAGTTATTCGTAAGTTTGGTCAAGTTAAAGAGTTACAAGCTAGTTAAAGCTGCGGCCATTCCCCCCAAGACGCATTCATCAATGTTAATGTATTATGTATAAATAATTGGTTTGTTCTCGTGTGTATATATTACTATTATTATATATTAAAGTTCTATGTATAGTTAGGTGTAGGTTAGATTAGGTGTTTAGGTTCTGTTTGGGGTGATTTTTAATTATAGTACGTAGGTGAAGCATTTACAGCGTTGTGGTTCGAACATAAGTCGTCAGCGAAACACTGTTTGAAAAATGTTCAAACTTCATCAGCTGTGACGTGTGTAAATCTTTCATTCATAAACAGGGGATTTGGCAGTTGGATTAATGAGCATTTGGCCTTTGTTGATGAGGACAAGCTGAATTATTGCATAAAGAAACGAGTTGAGGGCTCCGAGCCATTCAACTCGAGTTTATTCTAACTATTAAGAGGCTTTCCAAGATGTTGCGTGCTAGATGTGACATCTGGTCCTGGTATTAATGAGATAAATGTGTATCAGTGATCCCACTCAAATCACCCTTTAATTGATCAATCAAAAATGTATCTAAATTATACAAACCACCACTAATGTTTAAATTACATGATTTTGTAATCTGTATTAAAGCGGATTCCATAATGTTTCTATTGAAAATACTTTTACAATTGGTTATTGAAGCCATGTCCCAATTAGTTTGGTGAGAACTTCATTGTAATATTTATTACAATGAGGCAAAGCTCACTTAAATGTTAAAGGTTTGATTTAAGGTTTTGGTCTATAGGGAGAAAAATCCATGCAGGCAATATAGAAAAAATTATAAAGAATGTGTGATATAACCGCGATGGCAGCAGAGAAAAGACTGAGCAATGGTTACTCTGAAGATTCCTGTGAAGGTGAAGTATGAGGTGTTGGTGGGTAGGGTTGTGTAGAGTGAGAGGGAGTATGATGGGTGAGGTTGCTGGCGATGAGTCACAATAACGTGGCTAAAGTAAGTTCACCAGACCACACACTAGAAGGTGAAGGGACGACGACGTTTCGGTCCGTCTTGAACCATTCTCAAGTCGACGAAACGTCGTCGTCACTTCACCTTCTAGTGTGTGGTCTGGTCAACATGGATGAAGTTGATGGCCGCTGCTGGAGGTGTCGTCCCATAACATTGTTATCACTCTCTTCGACGGTATTAATGTATGGGTTTAGGTGCTCCCGTGTCAGCTCGCCAGAATATTCATGTCTTTGGTGTGTTGGCGTGAGGACATTCCATACACAGTGATGTATGACTGGCCCACCATGTTCTCTGTTTGTAATGTACTGCTCTTGTTTCCCCTCCCTCACCGAGCAGAGGAACTCTCCCATCTCGGTAAAGTATTACGCTTGTCTCATAAACTTATAAACATCACCCAAGTTTACCCCCCTTGTGTAAGCCACTCAGTTCCCTCACACATGGCACATCCTTCTTTCCCCTCACTGCTTCACAGTTGATATCTTGGCAAAGGCTATCGTAGACAGCTGTTAGTTTACTTATAGTACAATTAAGGAATCACAATAACCCCAGCTTACTTTGTGTGTGCAGAACAAGGCGGCAAGTTAACAGCGATCACAGAATGTACCGATGTGGAAGGTCCAGCCGGTGACTCTGTCTACTGTGTGGTACACATAACACAACCAGCTGAGCAAGTGGACTCCCCGCCACAGCCTGAAGACCACCCCAGTCCACCACTCTACCATCCCGATCACCTGGAGACTATCCCAGTTGACGAAACTAGCCTCTCTGAAACTCTAGAGTCTCTGGACGGAACGCCTAGCCACTCTGACGCAGCCCCAAAGCGCAATGGAGGTTACACTATGGCCGAAGATAACATTGCTCTCGCTGAAGTGAACTTGACAGCGGAAGACTACGACTATGATTACACCTCTGAAGACCACTATCCTACTGGGATAGACGGCACCAATATTTTGGACTACTGGCAGTATGGGTCCCATCCCGGGGCCCACGAGCCCCAAGCCCCCCGTCCTGGTCACGCTGGTGACGTCCACAGGGATAGGAACCTCACCTCAACAGAGGATAGTGAGAACGATCTGGTGCCACTAGAGGATAAAGACGACCTCGTCCCTGTAGAGGATAGAGAGGACGACCTCGTCCCTGTAGAGGATAGGGAGGACGATCTCGTGCCTCTAGAGGATAGGGAGGACGATCTCGTGCCTCTAGAGGATAGGGAGGACGATCTCGTGCCTCTAGAGGATAGGGAGGACGATCTCGTCCCTGTAGAGGATAGAGAAGACGACCTCGTCCCTGTAGAGGATAGGGAGGACGATCTCGTGCCTCTAGAGGATAGGGAGGACGATCTCGTGCCTCTAGAGGATAGGGAGGACGATCTCGTGCCTCTAGAGGATAGGGAGGACGATCTCGTGCCTCTAGAGGATAGGGAGGACGATCTCGTGCCTCTAGAGGATAGGGAGGACGATCTCGTGCCTCTAGAGGATAGGGAGGACGATCTCGTGCCTCTAGATGATAGAGAAGACGGCCTCGTCCCTGTAGAGGACAGAGAAGACGACCTCGTCCCTGTAGAGGACAGAGAAGACGACCTCGTCCCTGTAGAGGATAGAGAGGACGACCTCGTCCCTGTAGAGGATAGAGAGGACGACCTCGTCCCTGTAGAGGATAGCGAGGACGATCTGGTGCCACTGGAGGATGGAGAGGACGATCTCGTTCCACTAGAGGATGGAGAGGACGATCTCGTCCCTGTAGAGGATAGTGAGGACGATCTCGTCCCTGTAGAGGATAGTGAGGACGATCTCGTTCCACTAGAGGATAGAGAGAACGATCTCGTCCCTGTAGAGGATCGAGAGGATGATCTCGTCCCTGTAGAGGATAGAGAGGATGATCTCGTCACTGTAGAGGATAGTGAGGACGACCTCGTCCCTGTAGAGGATCGAGAGGATGATCTCGTCACTGTAGAGGATAGAGAAGACGATCTCGTGCTACTAGAGGATAGGGAGGACGATCTCGCACCACTAGAGGATAGGGATAGTGATCTAGATCGTGTAGAGGATAGGGATCTCTCTACTGTTGAGGATGTTGATGGTGAGCTCTATATTCCGGTAGAGGATAGTGATGAGAGCTTTGCTTCAGTGAAAGGTGATAGTGATGTTCCAGTAGAGAGTGGTGATGGTGGTTCTCCAGTAGAGAGTGGTGATGGTGAGAGTCCAGTAGAGAGTGGTGATGGTGGTTCTCCAGTAGAGAGTGGTGATGGTGATGCTCAAGTAGAGAGTGGTGATGGTGGTTCTCCAGTAGAGAGTGGTGATGGTGATGCTCAAGTAGAGAGTGGTGATAGTGAAGTTCCAGTAGAGAGTGGTGATAGTGATTCTCCAGTAGAGAGTGGTGATGTTCTAGTAGGGAGTGGTGATAGTGATTCTCCAGTAGAGAGTGGTGATGGTGATTCTCCAGTAGAGAGTGGTGATAGTGATTCTCCAGTAGAGAGTGGTGATAGTGATTCTCCAGTAGAGAGAGGTGATAGTGATTCTCCAGTAGAGAGTGGTGATAGTGATTCTCCAATAGAGAGTGGTGATGGTGATGTTCTAGTAGGGAGTGGTGATAGTGATTCTCCAGTAGAGAGAGGTGATAGTGAAGTTCCAGTAGAGAGTGGTGATAGTGATTCTCCAGTAGAGAGAGGTGATAGTGATTCTCCAATAGAGAGTGGTGATAGTGAAGTTCCAGTAGAGAGTGGTGATAGTGAAGTTCCAGTAGAGAGTGGTGATGGTGAAGCTCAAGTAGAGGATAGTGATGAGGGTTATGCTTCAATAGATAGTGACGATGGTGCTACTCCAGTTGATGGTGCTGATAGTGGCGTCTCACCAGAAGATAGTGATGGCGATATTTACGCTCCACTAGAGGATAGTGATGATAGCCTCGTTCCACTAGAGGGCAGCGGTGTAGAGGTCTTGGCCCCAGGAGGAGGCAGCGATGGTGACGCCACTAGCACAAGGCCTTGTAGTAATGATGACTACTACACAGGTGATGGTGAGGACCACATGACAACAGTGAATAGTGATGAGAACGACTCTCATACCTCGGATGATGGTGACACTGACCGCCCTCCCGTCAAAGGCTGTGCTAACGAAGACTACTACGACACGGAGAGCCCCGATGGTACACAGCTGGACTTGACAACAAGCGACGAGACCAACTTGACGGAAGCCAAGCTTGACGACGAGGGCGTCAGAGTGTCTAGTGAGACTACTGCTCCTGGGGAAGGCAGTGACGATGATGGGTACTTCCCGCGCACAGACAGTGCCAGCGAGGAAGTACAACCCGCAGAAGACACTGAGACACACTTGTCCAGTACCGACCAGGAACCACAATTGGTTGATGGAGAAATAAGAGATTATACTGAAGAAGCGGACGATCCCTATTTTGCTATCGATACTATGGGGGAGGAGCAGCCGAGTGGGGGAGCGGACGATGGGTCTAAGACTTCCAGCAGTGTGGAAGACGAGGAAGTGCTGCCAGTCTTCGGAAAAGACGATGAAAGTTATGATTTTGGTGTCGGTGTACAACACTATACAACCCTAGAGCCTCTCCATGAGTATACTGATAGCCAGCCAGCTCCGGCAAGTCCACACGACGACGATATTTCAGAAAATTCCAAGATTTATCCTGTCAAGATTGGCGAAGAGTCGGTAGCTACCGGAGCAACAGCCGAGGAGGAGGGAGAGTATAGAGACCCCAGTGAAGGGCTCAACTTCACTACCCCCTTACCAGATGTACCAAGACAGGTACCAGGTGCTGCATCAGCTGATGTTAAGCTTCCCTTACCAGGTAACTCAGTCTTTGGTGGCATATGCAAGTTACACATTTGCTGCGAGAGTTACCACTGCATTATACCATGTACCATAGTTCTGTAGGTACCAGGTAACTACTTTTTGATGGCACATGCAACATGCAAATTTCCTCGGGAAGGTTACTGCTGCATTGTGACAATTCGTACCTTAGTTCTGTAGGTACTTCGTCCTGGTCGCTAAGTTCGCCAGGCGACCAAGGAAAGTCTTGTAAAGAGGACGACGTAACTCTCCTGATAGGCTGACCAGATATCTCGTGTTTGCAAGGTGTTTGCGTCTCTAGCGGAGACCACGCTATATGTAGCGACCAGAGCTTGACTCACTCAGCTTGGCTCTATATAGATATCAACTCTGCATTCATTATCTCCAGCATCTCCGCTCTTATCTTGCCTGTTGCCTACGTCTGGGCTGCTATAACCTCTCGCTCAGGACAACCATGTCCACCAGTTTTTAAATAAATCACTGAGTTTACACAACAAAAGCATGTTTCCCGTGTAATGCCCATTTCTGATTTAATATTGCACTCATTATTGATTGTATAACTTTCGCCGTGGAAAATTTGTCAAATACCACACTGGAAACTTGTTGGTTAATAAATTATATGTTCGATATAATTTATTTGTAATTCCAGCGAGAACATTGACCGGTATTTCGAGCTGAACTCGTCTGTTAATTTTAGTAAAAAGATATGACAGCATTTAATATACTTTCCTGTTCACGTGTAGAGTAAAATTTGTTACAACAGATAGTGACACGAGCAGTGCGTAAGAAGCAAGGCTGGGGCCAGATTCACGAAAGCACTTACGCAAATACTTACGAACGTGTACACCTTTCCTCAATCTTTGACGGCTTTGGTTACATTTATTAAACAGTTTACAAGCATGAAAACTTGCCAATCAACTGTTGTTATTGTTATAAACAGCCTCCTGGTGCTTCGGAGCTCATTAACTGTTTAATAATTGTAAACAAAGCCGCCAAAGATTGAGAAAAGATGTACAGGTTCGTAAGTGCTTTCGTGAATCTGACCCCAGGTCTCCACAGGAAGTGTTGTTGGTTAAGTGTTGAGGCGAACCCCTTCACTACTCTTGTGTACTCTTGTCCATGATAATAAACGTAAAGCAGCAGTTTTCCCCTGTCTCATTGGTCTGGGTAGAGCGCGGTATCACCAGACAGTTTACCGTGGTACTTGGTACCAGTTTACCTTGGTACGTGAGCTCCGCGGAACACCTTTAGTGCATCGCGGCGCTCACTAGCATGTCCAGGCGCTCATTTGACTAACCATATTGGCTCACTCCACATTATGGAAGCCTCGACCCTACACCACGTCACAGCGAGGTGTTGTGACGGCTTCCTCACACTTATCAAAATCCTAATGTACCCTGCACCACTAGGTCACGTCCAGGGGCCAGATTCACGAAAGTACTTACGCAAACACTTACGAACCTGTACATCTTTTCTCAATCTTTGGCGGCTTTGTTTACAATTATTAAACAGTTAATGAGCTCCGAAGCACCAGGAGGCTGTTTATAACAATAACAACAGTTGAATGGGAAGTTTTCATGCTTGTAAACTGTTTAATAAATGTAACCAAAGCCGTCAAAGATTGAGGAAAGACGTACACGTTCGTAAGTGCTTTCGTGAATCTGGGCCCTGGTGTCCAGATATCAAAGACCCGAACACTACTGCTGATTGGAAATGCGAACACGCATCCACTAGGCATAAAATGCGCTGCACAGGAGGACAGTTACTAGTACACAGCCTAATGCTGCACGTAGATGCGTTTTTCATTTTCAATAAGCGGTAAATTTCAATCAAATTTAACGTTTGTGTCCCTGAGAAAATTGGTGCAAGAATTCTTCTTCTTCTCTCTCTCTCCTTCCTTGCATAAGATGATCTCTCCTGCTTGCACAAGGTCTTAACTGTTCAACTAACATTACCAGTTGTTAAGACCGGTATTTACACGCACGTAACACTCTTGACTAACATTTGTTCGACGTTTTCGCTTAATTCGCTCACATCTGACCTGCTCCCTACACTCAGTCAGGATTCACAGAGCACTTACGACACGTACGTCTCTACTTCAGAGATCTGTGCCTCTTACAATCATGGCGAGTTAGTCGGTATTTACAAAATATTTTAAGAGCTTCAAAGCACTACGAGGTCGTCCTCATTCCAGGGTTGTTCTTGGTTACGGACGACCTCGTAGAGCCTCGGAGCTCGTAAACTATTTAGTAAACACAGCCTAAGTCGCCATGATCGAGTTAAGAACTGCGGATCTTGTAAGACAAGACGTAAGTGAATCGTGGTTCATTACGGCTCACTGGCCCCGGCTCCTGTGACCATTCTCCTATCACCCTCATTACTTCCCAATCACCCTCATTACTTCCCAATCACCCAATTAAACCTTAAACTTGTTTTGGCATGATATTTCTTAAAGTTTTATGGAGTTGGATTAGATTAAAAATACTTCTTAGCAGCATGCAAGATTTTTTCAAAATGCATTTAATTTTGTAATTATAATAAACCTAATTGCACATTTACGAATGTGGCGGCTTAGTAGTGTAGGCCTATATGGGAGGAGGCCTAGTTGTCTCAGATATTCCCAATGATTTTTTTAAAGTAGTTATGCTTATTTTAAAGGGAATTGATCTTTCTTAAAGTATATAAAGTCTTATATAATGCCCAGTGTTAAAACTACCTGATTCGACCACTTCTGAGATAATCACATTCACTTTTTAATTTGTTTCCATTTGGAGATTATATATTATATGATTGTGTGTGTGGGGGGGGGGGAATATACACTTGACTTTGTTTATATAAAGCAATATGTATGTGAGAGGGAAGTGTAACTTGAGTGTGTTCCTTAAGGGTCTCACCGCAGTGTAGTGTGGAGAGGTAAGGTGGTGACTCTCTCTCAAGGTGGTGTCGTGTATTCCTGAGTATTACTCGTATGTTCCTGAGTGGTTGTGGTCTTCACACACACACACACACACACACACACACACACACACACACACACACACACACACACACACACACACACACACACACACACACACACAAACAGGCCTCGCGACTGAGTAGACAGCACTCTGGGGTCGTAGTCCTAAGGATCCGGGTTCGATCCCCGGCAGAGCCAGAAACAAATGGGCAGAGTTTCTTTCACCCTGTTCGCCTAGCAGTAAATAGGTACCAGGGAGTTAGACAGCTGCTACGGGCTGTTTCCTGGGGATGTGTGTTTATGATTACACCTAGTGCCGCCACTGCCTCTCCTGTCACCACCACACCTGCAACCACCACACCTGCAACCACCACACCTGCAACCACCACCACCACAACCACCACCACCACAACCACCACCAACACATCAGCTGTAACCAAAGTACCTTACACGTGGTGGCAGATGAGAAGTGGTGGCTGCCACCACCACACCTGTTACCAGTCCACACTTACATCGCCACCACAACTACCACCACACATCTACCACCACACTACACCTACCACCATTCCAGAAACCCCAAACCTATCACCCGCCCTCCTCGTGTTTCGCTAGCGACAGAAAAGTGTATTGAAGCCATCTTCTTCGTGTGTCTGGCGGGAAACTCACATTTCGGACGTCGGGCAGCTCAGGCAACCCCGTGTGAAGGTCTCTCTACCGAGGACACCATTACTGACTCTGAGAGGGACAAGGGATACGATCACCCCAAAACTTTCATTAATACTACCCTTAACGTTGTAAATATTAAGGCTCGGTATACCTGTATATCTGAGAGTTACTTCTGGCTCCTACCGACAGACTTCGAGGAACCGACAGTGGGCGCGGTGATGGAGGAGACGAACCCCATCTTGTGGACGTGGTTCATCATCGCCGTCATGGTGGCTGTCACTATGATCTGCATCGTCTTCTTCTCCATGTGGGTCTACAGTCAACGGTAAGTTAATTGTGACGAGAGAGGGATAAGTCAGTGTGACTGTCGCAGTCACTGGTAAGACCTGTACTTCCTTTTTGTCTAATTGTAATTCTCATTTTCTTATATGAAGATTCACTTAGTCTTCTTGTGGGTTAGACTGTTCTTGCCCTCGTCGATATCTATATCTAATGGTGTTATAATGACGTTATTTCTTTGGCTAAATGTTAGTTGGAGGACAACGTTCCCGCTGGCATCAGGTGGAAGACGCTTGACATAAAGCAACCCGTTCTCGCACTTTCGTATAGTCAATATTGACTTATTAAATAAATGCATATGTGACATACTAATTTATTGGGAATATTTTAGTTTACCTTGAAAAGCTTCATAGAAAACACCGACCTTACCTAACCTTCTTAGTATGTTAAGATAAGCATCTTATTGCTTCGTAATTACAATTATTACTTGACCTATTATAGGTATAGGTATATTTTTAACCTATTATAGGTATAGGTATATTTTTAACCTATTATAGGTATAGGTTAAGTAATAATTGTAATTACGAAGCAATAAGATGCTTATCTTAACATACTAAGAAGGTTAGGTAAGGTCGGTGTTTTCTATGAAGCTTTTCAAGGTAAACTAAAATATTCCCAATAAATTAGTGTCACACATGCACTTATTTAATAAGCCAATATTGACTATACGAAAGTGCGAGAACGGGTTGCAACGGCATAGGCTCGAACTCTTATCAAGGCCCTTGTGGATTTGTTCATTTGATATATCACATCATTGTGATTTATATGTTGTTATTATGCAGGCGATGAGTCACAATAACGGGGCTGAAGTATGTTGACCAGACCACACACTAGAAGTTGAAGGGACGACGACGTTTCGGTCCGTCCTGGACCATTCTCAAGTCGAAACGTCGTCGTCCCTTCAACTTCTAGTGTGTGGTCTGGTCAACATGTTATTATTATTTTTACTAAAAGTAATTACTGTATTACAATTTATATTTTTATTAGTATAATTGTGATGGTGTGTATTAACGAGTTGAAATTGAAATAAGTTTGAGGTAAAATACACACAAAGGGATGACCAGACCACACACTAGAAGTTGAAGGGACGACGACGTTTCGGTCCGTCCTGGACCATTCTCAATCGACTTGAGAATGGTCCAGGACGGACCGAAACGTTGTCGTCCCTTCAACTTCTAGTGTGTGGTCTGGTCAACATACTTCAGCCACGTTATTGTGACTCATCGCCTGCACACACAAAGTAAAGGGATGAGGCAGCTCAAGCTATTCTCACCCCGTTCAGTACATCGTGTTAATACATACACAGACACACACACAGATCACACTAACGTGATGCATCAAATGAACAAAATTTGTTCGGCTCGTAGCTCAGTCGATTAAGGCAGTGTCTGGGATGCTCCCGGACGCAGGTTCGAATCCTCGTCACGGCCCTTGTGGATTTGTTCATTTACATACATAGACACACATCACAAACAATGAACATATTACCAAAATTAACGAGTGGTGTTTGATGCAGGTTGGCACGGGTGGCGGAGCTTCGCGCGGCTCTGTACGAGGGATACGAACCCGCCCAGCCTGAGCCCGTCAAGAAGGAGATCGATGTGGAGGCCGCCAAGCTCCCGCCAACCCAGGAAGACGCTGTTGAGGACGAGATGACGGCCAATTACCAGCGGAAGTAAGTCTTCGCCTTGCTGCAGCTGCCGCCGGGGTCCAAGAGGCATTAAGGTCCACATAACAGAGATATTTGTGTCTGGGTGGGACAGTTAGTCTACTCCACACTCGGGGGAAACACAGGTGGAAGTTCAATAAAAAATGTCAGATGTAAGAAAGTGCTTACATGATCAGGCAAGATAAGGAGGCAGTAGAAGCCACATTCATTTACAGTTTTATTGGCCTCATTGTACGTCCCTGTTCTCTACACCGACTCATTGTACGTCCCTGTTCTCTACACCGACTCATTGTACGTCCCTGTTCTCTACACCGACTCATTGTACGCCACTGTTCTCTACACCGACTCATGTTTCATCTCTTCCTCTTGGGTTCATTGTTTCTCAGATGATTTGGTCATGGTGTAAGTCTCTGCCATTACCAGGAACTTTGTTTACAGTGTGTGGGCTGTGTCTGTGACTCGTAGAATATCCAAGCATGCACTGTTAGTAAGTTCATATTCTTGCCTCGGTCTTCTGGGGTTCTCTTGTGATTATATATTACAGCCACGACCACTTTCTCACAATCCAATGAAAGGATTTCCACAATAGAGTTCCTGTAGCTCTCTGCCTCCTCAAAAGAAATCCCTTCTAAGATCCAGGTTTTCTTCACTAGCAGTGCCACACCACCTTCTCTTTTCTGTACTCCTTTCTCATTATTTGATATTCATTTGGAAATATTGCATTGCTAATCATATTAGTTTTGTCTCTACTAATGCTATTACATCAGGGTCCGTTTCCTCAGTCCTTTGAGTTCATCTGCTTTATTTGACAATACATCAGCATTGGTGTACCAGATCTTGTCTTTAGTGTTGTATTGTGCTGTCTAGTTCCCAACCAAAGTATTGGGGTAATGTGAGAGGAAGTAAGGATGGAGATGCATGTTAGATTTCTGGCATGCTTGACCTGGGGGGGGGGGGAGGATTTGGAAGTGCTCTGGGTTTTTGGTCATTGTCAGTTGGTGGGAGCTAATTCCTTCTACTTTGAGGCTCTGACTGCTCGTTCATCATGTTACAATTTGTATGTTCTCGTACTGCAGTGTTGTGTAGTGTGGGTGTTGCTCTCCCGTCTCTTGTTTCGCTCTCTCCTCTCTTTATTACTTCTCTCTCTTCTTCCTCTTCTGTGTTCTATCTCTTTTATTTCCTCCTTGCTCATGTCATTTTCGAGGTAGACCCCTTTCAATTACCCTCAATTGTTTTGAGATATCGTATTAGGTTCGTTAACATTCTTGGAGCTGCTTCATTCATAAATATCAGTTTCATTGGTCTAGTTTGTTTTCTCGTGATATGACCCCAGCCTGTACATTTATAACAAATCTCTTTCAGCGTCGCCCTCTCAGGAGCTGCATAACTGATTCTCTCTCCAGTTGCATGCTGTCTCTCTTGGTTTCTGCTGGTGTGTGTGTGTGTGTGTGTGGTATAGGGAGAGTCATCGAGCACACACACTCATGTAGGTGAGCGTGGCTGGCACCATGTGCATTACTCCACCCTCACTGCCTCGCTTCTGGTGTATATATATAGTGCACCAGGGCCCATGGTGCTCAAGGCTCACCCCAACGTGTTGTACAGTCTCCCTCTGTCTCTGTGTCTCTCTGTCTCTGTGTCTCTGTCTCTCTCTCTCTCTCTCTCTCTCTCTCTCTCTCTCTCTCTCTCTCTCTCTCAACATGTATACCACACCCATCAAATATTACTATTACAACGTCACCCAGGCAGCGACAAAGTGACAGACGTGTTAAGATAACCTTGGAGCTGTTGATCACAGCTGCCAAACATTGTCACTATAATGTTCTCTCATTTCCTTCATTGCACGCCGCACCACCAGAGAGAACCGGAGGTCTTGGTACCACGTGTGAGTATCCTGCTCTCACACTACTCACTTTATCTTACTTTCTACCTCATCTTTATTCAGTTTTACCATTTTTCTTCCGTTTTCTATTTGTGTTGTTTCACAGTTAATTTATATTTAGGTTTTCCTGTATTTGTGCGTGTTAATCTGGAATGAAGGAATGATTAGTGTTTGGTGTAGGAGTGTTAGACGTGGTGAGGGTAGCAGTGAGGCTTTGATTACACAATAGTACATTCAGATTTACAAATGTATGAATAACTAAGGTGCTGGTCACAGTGATTCAAGAATAACTATGACCAGCACTGTAAATAGTAGTAGTAATAAATGCATTAGTAGTTCTGTAGTGATGGAAGTAGTAGTAGTCTATGAAGAAGCCCAAGCTGCTATAGCTGCTGAAGCAGCACAATAAATTATATACACTTATAAATAAATGTATAATGTACAGTTATATTTAGTACGGTAGACGGCTTTTTTAGACGGTAAAAGGGGCTTAGCGGACAGCGCGGCCAGGTACAGGTACAGAGATTCCATCTAGATGTTGTAGCTGGGAGATCTCATATAGTTATAACTGTATCCTGTATCCACACGTGTACCTGGAGCTGTAATGTGGGACGAGGCGGGGACCAGCAGCTGGAGCACGTGTCTCAGACTCTCTCTCACTTGCAGGCAACTGGCGGCAATGATGAAGCGACAGGAAACTGTGCAAAGCGTCGACTCATTCGCGTCCCACGATGACGACTTCGCTGAGTACGGGGACGAGAGTATGGGTGAGTCTCCCCTCTCTTCTGGCGCGTCGCACTATCCACAAGCCCCACTCTCTTCTCCAACACTATCCTGGCCCCCTCTCACTATCCACAAGCCCCACTCTCTTCTCCAACACTACTCTCCTGGCTATTCTCACTATCACAAGCCTCACCCTCTTTTCCAACACTACTCTCCTGGCTATTCTCACTATCCACAAGCCTCACCCTCTTTTCCAACACTACTCTCCTGGCTATTCTCACTATCCACAAGCCTCACCCTCTTTTCCAACACTACTCTCCTGGCTATTCTCACTATCCACAAGCCTCGCCCTCTTTTCCAACACTACTCTCCTGGCTATTCTCACTATCCACAAGCCTCACCCTCTTTTCCAACACTACTCTCCTGGCTATTCTCACTATCCACAAGCCTCGCCCTCTTTTCCAACACTACTCTCCTGGCTATTCTCACTATCCACAAGCCTCACCCTCTTTTCCAACACTACTCTCCTGGCTATTCTCACTATCCACAAGCCTCACCCTCTTCTCCAACACTTCTGATTTGATGTCCACACCACACACTAGAATGTGAAGGGACGACGACGTTTCGGTCCGTCCTGGACCATTCTCAAGTCGATTGTGAGACTTGATTGTGAGACTCACAATCGACTTGAGAATGGTCCAGGACGGAGCGAAACGTCGTCGTCCCTTCACCTTCTAGTGTGTGGTCTGGTCAACATACTTTAGCCACGTTATTGTGACTCATCGCCTGCACTTCTGATTTGATTTTCTTCTACAACTCTGTTCTCTCTCTAATATATTCCTTATCTCTGTTATCTAACACTTTATTCACCCGTGTCTTGCTTGACACTTCTTTTTGTTTAATATGTCTTATTTAGCATTTGATCTTATTAAATAATTATCTCTTCTTTCTCTAATGCTTTTCAGTTAATATACATTCAGTCAACATCTCTTTAATGCACACTTTTGTTCCTCGCAATTTGCTGACTATTGTATGTGATAATCCCATAGTTCTTGTTGAACAAATTTATCTCGTGTATTTAACACCGTTATTTAACATCCTGGTTCCTCACAGGTTGTTATTAATAGTTAACATCTATTGCATAACTTATTTCTTGTTTAAAGAAGTTTCTATTATTTAACACATTTCTCTTGTTACTCTTCTCTTGTTATTCTTATGTTAATGTTTGGTAATATATAAATAACAGCTTTCTGTCATGTTTTTATTGACTGTCAATATACAGGCTGTATATATATATATATATATATATATATATATATATATATATATATATATATATATATATATATATATACATATGACAGTCAGACCACGGAGGAAAATTGAAACAGGAATTTCCTTAAGTACTTTCGTATATTAATACATCTTCAGAAGGAGTCGACTCCTGAAGGAGATGTATTAATATACGAAAGTACTTAAGGAAATTCCTGTTTCAATTTTCCTCCGTGGTCTGACACTGTCACATTTTTAATCACGTGTTTATTTTCGTGATTTACACAGATATATAATATATATGCGTGTGTGTGTGTGTGTGTAACACCTTTATTAATAATATTTGACATTGCGCAAATCACTAATCGCACTTTTAAACTCCGAGTGATAGGATATATGACCACGAGTAAAATATATTTATGCTAACATATATCTAACATATCCTAACATCTATCCTAACATATACCTAACATATCCTAACATGGTCATATATATGGTCATATATCCTAACACAAGTCAAAATAAACGTCTAGAATTAAATATTAAATAAATGATCCAAGGTCTACTTCGTAACCTTCTTAAAAACATTAACACTAAAAATTAAGGCGCTCCTAAGTACACACACAAGATTTGCTGAGGAGTTGTCGTTTCGACATAATTAGCATATTGCGCTAGGAGGCCCTCTAACAGTGCTTAGCAGCCGGAGACATCACATCTATGATGTGGTTTGAGCGAGCGTTGGTTTGTAGATGTGGTTTGTCGACTTGATTTGGTTTATACAGACGGTCCCTTCTGGGAGGCGCTCATAAAGTGTTCATACATTCCTGTTGACCAGACCACACACTAGAACGTGAAGGGACGACGACGTTTCGGTCCTGGACCATTCTCAAGTCGATTGAGAACGTCGTCGTCCCTTCACCTTCTAGTGTGTGGTCTGGTCAACATATTTCAGCCACGTTATTGTGACTCCTCGCCTGCATACAATCCTCTTTTTATAGATTTGTTGCTTATACCGCTCACTGGCGAGCAGTAAATTATATTTCTTATATAAGTCGACATGATGGAGAGAGGTCCTGAAGTGTCCAGTGATCCACTCTTGATTTTTAATACACTGCTGGAATTTATGTGCTTCCGGAATTACTGTGAGTATAGGTACCATGGGGACCAGTACCTCTTGAACCAGTACTATATAGGTACCACAGAGACCAGTACTTCTTGAACCAGTACTATACAGGTCCCAGAGACCAGTACCTCTTGAACCAGTACTATACAGGTCCCACAGAGACCAGTGCCTCTTGAACCAGTACTATACAGGTCCCACAGAGACCAGTGCCTCTTGAACCAGTACTATACAGGTCCCACAGACCAGTGCCTCTTGAACCAGTACTATACAGGTCCCACAGAGACCAGTACCTCTTGAACCAGTACTATACAGGTCCCACAGAGACCAGTACCTCTTGAACCAGTACTATACAGGTCCCACAGAGACCAGTACCTCTTGAACCAGTACTATACAGGTCCCACAGAGACCAGTACTTCTTGAACCAGTACTATACAGGTCCCACAGAGACCAGTACTTCTTGAACCAGTACTATACAGGTCCCACAGAGACCAGTACCTCTTGAACCAGTACTATACAGGTCCCACAGAGACCAGTACCTCTTGAACCAGTACTATACAGGTCCCACAGAGACCAGTACCTCTTGAACCAGTACTATACAGGTCCCACAGAGACCAGTACCTCTTGAACCAGTACTATACAGGTCCCACAGAGACCAGTACCTCTTGAACCAGTACTATACAGGTCCCACAGAGACCAGTACCTCTTGAACCAGTACTATACAGGTCCCACAGAGACCAGTACCTCTTGAACCAGTACTATACAGGTCCCACCAGTACCTTGAACCAGTACTATACAGGTCCCACAGAGACCAGTACCTCTTGAACCAGTACTATACAGGTCCCACAGACCAGTACCTCTTGAACCAGTACAACTTTATGACTACTAAAAGATACCTAGTAAGCTAAGGTCATTTATTTAACATATTATAATAGTTGTTGAGGCGCGTCTGGGTTCTGACTGTTAGTGATGTGCGGAATGTCACCCGTGTATATATGTACTGTTCATATATAATCATATTTCATATATATAACATAATGAATAAAAGGTAATATGTTAAATGCTATTGCTTTTTTTAGAATTACAGTAAGTTGTGTTACAACCCGTTCTCGCACTTTCTTATAGTCAATATTGACTTATTAAATACGTGCATATGTGACATACTAATGTATTGTGAATATTTTAGTTTACCTTGAAAAGCTTCATAGAAGCTTCATACTAAGAAGGTTAGGTAAGGTCGGTGTTTTCTATGAAGGTTTTCAAGGTAAACTAAAATATTCACAATACATTAGTATGTTACATATGCACGTATTTAATAAGTCAATATTGACTTAAAGAAAGTGCGAGAACGGGTTATTGTATTAATAATGTTGAGGAATACTAACAATATTGACGTTCCTGTAGTCGGGCAGACGGAGACCTTAGTGTAAAGGGTAGGCAAGAGGACCTCTTGGTCTCGTACACTTGTTGTAGCTGCCAGCGCTCTTCTCCTCTTGCCTAGTAGTGGCTTTGTAGAGTAGCTGTGTACTAGTACACTGCTTGTCTGGTAACTCGGTGGTTGGGGACTGCTTCTCTCCGTGCAATGGTCTTGGAACAACACGGGGAAAACGGCCTGTTGTACTGTGATGTGTATGGGGTCTTAAGTCCCGTTTAACGGCAACTTTAAGTTCTTAATTGCAAGAGTAAGCGAGTTGACCAGACCACACACCAGAAGGTGAAGGGACGACGACGTTTGTCAATCCTGGACCATTCTCAAGTCCCCAAGTTCTCAAGGTGGACTTGAGAATGGTCCAGGACAGACCGAAACGTCGTCGTCCCTTCACCTTCTAGTGTGTGGTCTGGTCAACATACTTCAGCCACGTTATTGTGACTCATCAGCCTTTCAGGAAGCTAGATTAACTGTTAATATGTTGTTCAAAGTGTGTTCAAAATTAATTTTTGAAGGACTTGAATCTAATCATTTAGCATCTCACGCACTTATGTTACAGGCGATCTACCTTTACGTAAAATTCTGAATTTACTTTTAAATTATTTAAAGTGAATTGCAAGCTAGCCATGCAACTCATCTTAGCACTTACTTGAGTAACTCAATTTATCAAAAATTGAAATCAATTTTGTCTGCAAAACATTGGATGTGGATCCATAAGCATCTAAGGTACAACAGAAAGTTATTTGGTTTTCACTGAAGAGCTCCGTGGGCCCCTGGCTAATGGTAGGACCATGGGTACTGGAGGGCCCCCCGGGCTAATGGTAGGACCATGGGTACTGGGCCCCCCCCCCGGGCTAATGGTAGGACCATGGGTACTGGAGGGCCCCTGGCTAATGGTAGGACCATGGGTACTGGAGTGCCCCCCGGGCTAATGGTAGGACCATGGGTACTGGAGGGCCCCTGGCTAATGGTAGGACCATGGGTACTGGAGGACCCCGGGCTAATGGTAGGACCATGGGTACTGGAGGGCCCCCCGAGCTAATGGTAGGACCATGGGTACTGGGGGCCTCCCCCCGGGCTAATGGTAGGACCATGGGTACTGGAGGACCCCGGGCTAATGGTAGGACCATGGGTACTGGAGGACCCCGGGCTAATGGTAGGACCATGGGTACTGGAGGGCCCCGGGCTAATGGTAGGACCATGGGTACTGGAGGGCCCCCCGGGCTAATGGTAGGACCATGGGTACTGGAGGACCCCGGGCTAATGGTAGGACCATGGGTACTGGAGTGCCCCCCGGGCTAATGGTAGGCCTCTTCCCTGCTGGTCACCAGGCTAATGGTCCGTCATTAACACCCGCGACAACCCACCAGTTATTACTGATCTAGTTAGTGTCTTCACGCCTGCTATACACCCTCGCTCCTCTGCACTATCACCTGTCCACCTTCTGCCTCATACACACTCAACACTGCCTAAGTACAGCAGCAGCAGATGTGTACAAATGTTCTCCCTGTACAGTAACGATACTTAACAAACGCTCTAAGTCTGCACTGACCATTTTGCCACTCTTAACCCAATTTTAATCCAAGTTAGTTAACTAAAGTTTAACTTGATTAGACAATTATTCCAGCTCATGGTTTGGTTAAAGGTTATTAGCCTCTGATGGGTGATTTAGACCACCACAACTCCATAGTGACCAACCAGCAAGTATACTTTAGTCCTGGACTAAACTGATTGTATATGCACCGAGAAGCGGGAATATCGTTCATGTAAATCAGTTTTCTCATAGATCTTCCTTTTACATATCTGCCTGCAAACATCAGATATGTAAAAATATATGTACATATCTGACTTGAGTGGAGGAGGCTTCAGGACGCCTAATGCAGCAGTAGAGTGCACATATGTCGGTCACCTGGCGACACACCTGGCGACACACCTGGCGACACACCAGGCAACACACCTGCCTCTGCTCCAGCTTGCACGTAGCCTGTTGCATGTTGCTCTAGTTAAGCTGGTAGTTAGCGAGGCAAGTTATGTGTAATTAGATCGTGTTCAGCAGATCACTTACGATAATATTCAGATTTGATGTTAATACTTGTGTTCTTCAGGTGTTCTTCAGGTGTTCTTCAGGTGTTCTCAGGAGCATTTGTCCTGTGTTTTATTTCTTCAATATATCATTTTCAGTTAACCAAAATATATATAACATTACAATAATTAAATCAATATTTTAAGGCACACGTGTACACTTCCATGTTATAAATTAAGCAGAAATAATAATGTTCACTAAAGTATTATTTTATATATATTTTCCATTTAACAAGTTTTGTATGAATATAATAACTTGTAGTGGTACAGTACTTGTGCTGTACCACTACCGTGTACCGTGTGTACCATCGCTATGGCTGTACCACTACCGTGTACCGTGTGTACCATCGCTGTGGCTGTACCACTACCGTGTACCGTGTGTACCATCGCTATGGCTGTACCACTACCGTGTACCGTGTGTACCATCGCTGTGGCTGTACCACTACCGTGTACCGTGTGTACCATCGCTATGGCTGTAACCTTGTAGTAGTAGAATGCTTGTGCTGTATCTACAAGCACGGTCAGCTTCCCATTCCTTGACTTATCGCTACAAGTGTCGAGTTAAGACTTTTACCAGTTGGTCGTAGCAGTCTACAAGCACGGAGTGAACACTCTTTAGTCTCTCGCTACCGCCCGCTGCTCCTGTATTTCCACAGCTTTACAGGTACAGCTCACTAGCTGTATCTTTTAGCGCTGGCTTGCCGATAGCTGCTCTAATCTGTCTTTTACTTATAAATCCATGCCTGTTGTGCAGGTCCTAGATTTATGTTACGTAGAGATATTCATCTAGAATAGTGCCTACTGTTGCTATGGTGAATGATACTTATGGTGAGGTGTCACCATTATTAGCACACGACGATACATGTTATAATTGTCTCGTTATTCATAATTACCTAAGTTATAGTTAAGATTCAATATAATAGTTGTATTCCAGGTTCACTATAATTGTATTCCTTGCTCACTATAGTTGTATTCCAGGTTGAGTATTGTTGTATTCCAGGTTCACTGAGGTTGTCTTCCATGTTCACTATGGTTGTCTTTCAACCATAGTGAATGAGTCAGACCTGGAGGCCAGGAACTGGAACCCGTTAGGTCTGGTGGGTACTGGAACTGATAAGGCCTAGAGTCCAGTTATGATATTGGAACCGGTTAGGCTAGGCGGCCAGGTGCTGGAACCAGATAGTTCTTGTGTCAAGGTAGAGTATCAGCTGTGCCTCTGTGTGTGTGTGTGTCCGTGTGTGTGTCCGTGTGTGTATCCGTGTGTGTGTGTGTCAGCCAAGGACCACCACTGGTAGGGACTTAATGTGTAGCTGTTCACCCGCTGGAGGTCACATGAGGCCGCTGGAGGTCACATGAGGCCGCTGGAGGTCACATGAGGCCGCTGGAGGTCACATGAGGCCGCTTGAGGTCACATGAGGCCGCTGGAGGTCACAGGTCCAGAGACATCGTTCATTATTTGACCTGAAGAAACACTTTTTCATTCCATTTGTGTACTTGATAAATCAACTAATAAAAGGTATGCTGATTTCCTCTAACACTAACTGAAATACATTCTTGGTTTTTCTTCGCACCGGCAGCCCTGCAGTCATTCCTGGGACGCTATGGCATGTGAGGGTTTGTATGGCGATCTGTAAGTGTAAATATCACAGCGGTTTTGTGAGTAAATATGTAGAGTGCTTCTGGCATCGCCGCAGAAGTGTGTATAAAGCTTTGACCGGTGGCACGCTCTCTCCATCCCGCTAGGGAAACCTACATATTTTAGGATGATTGATTGATGAAGATTAAGCCACCCAAAAGGTGGCACGGGCATGAATAGCCCGTAAGTGATGGCCCTTTTGAGCCATTACCAGTATCATTAGATGATACTGGAGATCTGTGGAGGTGCGACTGCACCCTGCGTGACGGGAGATGTCTCCTGTATGTTTTAGGATGAAATCATTGCTGTTAAATATCAGACGGGAACACAGACTGTGCTGGAGTTTACTGGCAACTCTACTTCCAGACACAGTGGAAAAGTGAATGTCGTAGATAGGAAAGTTGTTCAGGCTTCACACACAGAGATCACACTAACGTGATGCGTCAAATGAACAAATCCACAAGGGCCGTGACGAGGCTTCGAACCTGCGTCTGGGATGCTCCCAGACGCAGGTTCGAATCCTCGTCACTGCCCTTGTGGATTTGTTCATTGTTCAGGCTTGTTCTAGCCAGGCCAGGGTCACCATCCAGTGTAAACCAGGCCTAACGCTGCTAAACCTGACCTAGCGTCCTGAGTTTACCCCGGTAGATGTGATGCTAGGTTAACTAATATAGAGAAATGTAGACTGTTGTCCTTACCAAATGTAAACATCGATATTAGCTTCTTGAGGCAATGATCGGCCAGACTTTGACACGTTACTGACATGGTTACTGACCCTGTTACCTAGCAGTAAAATAGGTACCTGGGTGTTAGTCAGCTGTCACGGGCTGCTTCCTGGGGGTGGAGGCCTGGTCGAGGACCGGGCCGCGGGGACACTAAAGCCCCGAAATCATCTCAAGATAACCTCAAGATAGTCTTCACCGTCTGATGGGCTCACTTAACGCAGGTCTAAAAATGTTGGCCGAGGCTTGAGACAGGAAGATGGTCCTTACAGACGGCTGTCACTTTAACATCACGACCTCACTCACTGTTCATACCAATCAGAATAATATTTTATTCAAAATATCTTGAGTCCTTCGTTATTTTAGGAATTTATGAAACTATCTCCTGCCTCCTTGGGCCAGATTCACGAAGCAGTTACGCAAGCACTTACGAACCTGGGGCCAGATTCCCGAAGCAGTTACCCAAGCACTTACGAACGTGTACATCTTTCCTCAATCTTTGACGGCTTTGTATACATTTATTAAACAGTTTACAAGCCTGAAAACTTGCCAATCAACTGTTGTTATTGTTATAAACAGCCTCCTGGTGCTTCGGAGCTCATTAACTGTTTAATAATTGTAAACAAAGCCGCCAAAGATTGAGAAAAGATGTACAGGTTCGTAGGTGTTTGCGTAACTACTTCGTGAATCTATCCCCTTGTCACTATGGAAGCGCTTCAAGAGCACTTTCTTCCCACTGACCAATCACAGACCTGAGGGACAATATGGTAGTTAGGAGGTCGGGAGGCTTCAAGTGATGGTTGAACACCAGTAAACTCTGCAGATGTTTTAACACCTGTGGCGGATCTTTTAATGGCCTGTTGAATAGTCAAAAACTGTTTGAATGTAAGCAATGATGAATGCAACGGAAAATTGTAATTACTTAAACCTTGAATGTTATTTAACTTGGGTGTCTGGTCCACACCCTCGGGTATTGTGTACTGAACTAGCAGTTTATTGTAGAGTATTTAGAGATGTAGCGCTGTAGATCCAAGATTACTTTAGGGGGAGCATAATTAATCTCGTGTACAATGTATAGGTTGAAGCATTCTTCAGTGTGGCTTTTTAAATCTTGCAGCTATTGACCTGCTCAGTTCGGTATCGCTGGTAACGAACCCGAGACACCAGAAGCCTCCTCCAGCCCCGCGCACCTGAACACCCTCCTGCAGGTAACAGTGTACCTCTCCCCCCTATCAAGGGCGTCGCCAGTACACACCCAGCCTTTGTATACGAGGCCGTCTGGAGGGCCGCTTGCTCTTCCTTCCACGCTGCCTCTGTGTACAAGGCTGTCTTGGGGGGGCGTCTCCACCACTCTCCACAACCTCTCGTCTGTCACATCGTATGCATAGTTAGATGATCTGACGTCCCCCAGATCGCCTGGAAAGTTAGACGATCTGACGTCCCCCAGATCGCCTGGAAAGTTAGACGATCTGACGTCCCCCAGATCGCCTGGAAAGTTAGACGATCTGACGTCCCCCAGATCGCCTGGAAAGTTAGACGATCTGACGTCCCCCAGATCGCCTGGAAAGTTAGACGATCTGACGTCCCCCAGATCGCCTGGAAAGTTAGACGATCTGACGTCCCCCAGATCGCCTGGAAAGTTAGACGATCTGACGTCCCCCAGATCTTCACCTGCCCCCACCATCTTCACCTGCCCCTGGGCATGGCTCTTGCCCCCATTTGTTTCAATGAGAACAAGGTGTTGTGGGTATACGGTTATCTTGAGTTGAGATAACTCAAGATATGACAGAGGTTGTGGAGACTTGTCGTGGCCCTCCTCCCAGGTGTTTACCGGCGGGGGAGGACCTGTATTGCCTTGGAGGAGGACCTCACGTAGAGCCTATTGGGCACACCATCTTGGCATCTGGTTCACAGGCGTGTAGAGTAATTTAGGGACATGTACTGGTGGCGTCCTCTGTTATTCATAACTTTCCTTCACATGCTTTTAAAAGTATTTATAATTGCAGTTTTTCAGTTGTGATGCTTCACTTTATTCATTTTTGCAATATGCTTATATACAGTATTTTGTTTAATTTAAAAATATTTCCATTTAATTTTATTCATTATATTTCAAGTAATAATGCATGCAATAACGTTTTAGTGCTTAAGAATGACATATAGTATAATAAAATATGACTATTAGCAAATACCATTGTTGAATACTTAGTGCTATGTTAAGATATTAATAGGGTATTAAAAGTATCAACATAAGACAGAACACGAAACAATGGATATAAAATGGATAAGTTTAGATTTAGGAAATTAATTAAATTGTAATAATAATTATTTAATTATTGTAATCTGTTACAACCAAACCTGTCTGTGTCGCCTGCCCCGGAGACTAGCAACTTCACGACTGAACTTTATGAAGTCTTGTATACACTTCAACTACTTAACCCACCAAACACACACCGAAACTAATACGTTGGTACAACGTTGGAACAAGTTTTAACACCTAACCAGTTATAACAACCAATATAGCAAGTTGTAACAACGTTCTAATACGTCATAAACACGTTAAGCCAAGATGTTGACCAGACCACACACTAGAAGGTGAAGAACTTATAGATAAGAGCTAGTACATACAATGCCTAAAGCCACTATTATGCAAAGTGTTTCGGGCAGGAAAAACACTAAAGACTAAAACTTAATACTAATTGAGATTAAAGTATAAAATGTGTTGAGAAAATTTAAAAATAAAAAAGGGGGGAACATGGCAGAAAAACAGCAAAAATACAATTTTGTCGACAAACAGCATTGTTTAAAAATAAGAGACATGTGTTGATATTATAGGGGTAAGGTAGGTTACAGGGAGTTAATTAGGTAGTGCTTCGTTTTTGTCTTAAACTGGTTGAGAGAGGTACAGTCTTTAACATGGTTGGGAAGGTCATTCCACATTCTGGGTCCCTTGATTTGTAGAGCATTTCTAGTTTGATTAAGTCGTACTCTTGGAATATCAAAAAGGTATTTGTTTCTGGTGTGGTGCTCATGGGTTCTGTTACAACCTTCAATGAAGCTTTTGAGGTCAGGATTGGCATTACAGTTCAGCGTTTTATATATATAATACACATGAGAGGATGTGTAGTGACTTAATATCTAATAAACAAAGGTATTATATATTAGGAAAAGTGCACTAACGTCTCACCCTGCCCAGGAATCGAACCCAGGGTCAATTATCTATATACAAGCCACCATGCAAGCATGTCCTAGTCTAAGTAAATGCTCCGGCATATAGCTGGTGTAGACAGCATATATATATAGTTGGAGAGTGTTGATAGGCGGCCAGTGTCCGCCAGATATGATAAGTATACTAATGCATGCATTACCTGGTTACCTGGTTGGCACCTGGTTGATGGGGTTCTGGGAGTTGTTCTACTGCCCAAGCCCGGCCCGAGGCCAGGCTTGACTTGTGAGTTTGGTCCACCAGACTGTTGCTTGGAGCGGCCCGCAGGCCCACATACCCACCACAGCCCGGCCCGAGGCCAGGCTTGACTTGTGAGAGTTTGGTCCACCAGGCTGTTGCTTGGAGCGGCCCTCAGGCCCACATATACCTGCTTGATGGGGTTCTGGGAGTTGTTCTACTGCCCAAGCCCGGCCCGAGGCCAGGCTTGACTTGTGAGTTTGGTCCACCAGACTGTTGCTTGGAGCGGCCCGCAGGCCCACATACCCACCACAGCCCGGCCCGAGGCCAGGCTTGACTTGTGAGTTTGGTCCACCAGACTGTTGCTTGGAGCGGCCCGCTGGCCCACATACCCACCACAGCCCGGCCCGAGGCCAGGCTTGACTTGTGAGAGTTTGGTCCACCAGGCTGTTGCTTGGAGCGGCCCTCAGGCCCACATACCCACCACCATTGACTGGTACTGATACAGATATCACGTTACAGGTCGCTTCACCGATGATGGCTCACTAATCTATCAGAAGGTGTGAGACGGCCGCGTTACTTCATCTCCCGGCACCAGCATCTGCCTGGTGAAGTCAAGGACGTCACCACAGCTGCCTGGTGACCAGAGGCCCGCCACAGCTGCCGTGTCACCACTACTCACCACCACTCCCACTGTCACCACCACCTTCACCATCACCCACTCCTCGTGGTTGGCTATGTGCTTCAATGGGCTTCCTTATTATTTCACCATTCACCATTTTCTATGACATGTACACTGTTCTTCAGTCATAAAAAAATATATAGTAAAATCAAATTTGTGAATGTATGAAAAGACACTATGTATTTTATAGTATTTATCTGTATTTTTGGATGTAGTGAGTGGAGGCATCTGGATGTGAGAGTAGTCGTGGGGCAGCTATTGCACTAGACGAGAACACACATTATAAACAGTGCTGGCTGTGGACATTTTGTACTGTGTATAAAGAAAGGAATTTGTACAGCAAACACAATAATGTTTAGAATATACAGAACAAACGTCGTGAACATCTGTTTTATGTCTGTCTTGGAGAACACTTAACTGGACGACTGAGAGGCTTATAGTGAACTGTCGCCCAAGTTAATGTTTATTTAATGAAATATTACATGAACAAGTATCCTGTCAAACGTGAACATTCAGCAGCAGCGCATACCTCGACCATCCACACTTAAATAGTGGCTCCCGGATCACTTTCCAGGAAGTTAACTGATCCTGGACTAGTAACAGTTCATCAGTGGCGCCCAGACTGTACGTACTCTTCGATACTAAGCAAGTTACTCCAGACACAGTGACCAATAACAGCAGCGGTGTTGTTCACGCGCCACTGTGTGAAAGCGGGCAGGTGTTGGTGGCGTCCTGGAGCCAGTCAGACGGATTCTGGTTGCGTCCTGGAGCCAGTCAGACGGATTCTGGTGGCGTCCTGGAGCCAGTCAGACGGATTCTGGTGGCGTCCTGGAGCCAGTCAGACGGATTCTGGTGGCGTCCTGGAGCCAGTCAGACGGATTCTGGTGGCGTCCTGGAGCCAGTCAGACGGATTCTGGTGGCGTCCTGGAGCCAGTCAGACGGATTCTGGTGGCGTCCTGGAGCCAGTCAGACGGATTCTGGTGGCGTCCTGGAGCCAGTCAGACGGATTCTGGTGGCGTCCTGGAGCCAGTCAGACGGATTCTGGTGGCGTCCTGGAGCCAGTCAGACGGATTCTGGTGGCGTCCTGAAGCCAGTCAGACGGATTCTGGTGGCGTCCTGGAGCCAGCCAGACGGATTCTGGTGGCGTCTGGAACCAGCCAGAAGGATTCTGGTGGCGTCTGGAACCAGTCAGACGGATTCTGGCGTCCTGGAACTAGCCAGGCGGTTTCTGGTGGCGTCCTGGAGCCAGCCAGAGTGAGGTGGTCGTTCGCTGCCCGAGGCGCCGACCCAACATCCAGGAACCTTTAATACTCACCATAAATGTCAACTTCTTGTGTCTTCAAGTTCACATTTGTACCATTTTCTATTGTAATACCTCAGTGTTTTTGTGTTTCTTAATTTAAGTTGTAATTTGGTAAAGGGATGTAACAGTTTCTAATGATTGTGAAACCGATTTAAAGTTCATCGTATCAATGGGTAATAGAATTTTAATAAGAGATTGGGATTGGTAAATGTTCATTAATCTAAAAATGCCCAGTTAAATGTATTCATAGTACAACCGGATCATTGTTTTAAATGTTACCATTACTGCACACTTGACCCAGCAAACTGTTATTTCTGAGCGTTCATGAGTTGTGTATTGTGGACTTGCCATGCCAGTGTGGAGACCTGGGGCCAGATTCACGAAAGCACTTACGAACCTGTACGTCTTTTCTCAACCTTTGGCGGCTTTGTTTACAATTATTAAACAGTTAATGAGCTCCGAAGCACCAGGAGGCTGTTTATAACAATAACAACAGTTGATTGACAAGTTTTCATGCTTGTAAACTGTTTAATAAATGTAACCAAAGCCGTCAAAAATTGAGGAAAGATGTACACGTTCGTAAGTGTTTGCGTAAGTGCTTTCGTGAATCTGGCCCCTGGGAGACCCCGGAATTGTATAATCCTGGATGTCAACCTGTCCTATGAAAATAACGTCACTTTTGGCTTGTATGCTCACTATGGCCATATTTGGACGTAATTTGAAATGAAATCGGCTCACGAAAGTGACGTACTGTTCCATTTTCTGTTTGAGTCGTCCGGCTTACTCGGCAAGGTTAGAAGAGGAAACTTTCAATTAACGTTTTTCATACCGTTCTGAAACTTTGAGAATTTCCTGCCCATCTAACCTATCAGAGGACCCTTAACGTACTGTTGTTGAAAAAAAAAATCCCAAATTTATTTAAAAAAAATTTCATTTTCAAATTACGTCCACTTTCGGCCATACGGACAAACGGCCAAAAGCGACGTTATTTAAGAGGACAGGTTGTTGAACAACTAATATGATCTGACAAGACTTGCGACCAAGAGCATCATTACTCGCAAAGATAAGTGATTTCACAAGATTCTTAAGAGATACTTGTTATTCCACGCTGGTCGTTACCCCTACAACACCCTAACTACCGCCATCTTGGAAAGAAATAGATTAAGATCTGTAAGATAATCTTGTGCTAAATTATTTGACTTTTTATTTATTTCATTATACAGCATCAGTATTTCAAAATATGCTTCGTTCCCAGTTGTCTCTGGTAAAATGTACGGTAAAAATCACATTATTTAATATGCAGGGGCCAGATTCACGAAGCAGTTATGCAAGTACTTACGAACCTGTACATCTTTTCTCAATCTTTGGCGGCTTTGTTTACAATTATTAAACAGTTAATGAGTTTCGAAGCACCAGGAGGCTGTTTATAACAATAACAACAGTTGATTGGCAAGTTTTCATGCTTGTAAACTGTTTAATAAATGTAACCAAAGCCGTCAAAGATTGAGAAAAGATGTACACGTTCATAAGTACTTGCGTAACTGCCTCGTGAATCTGGCCCCTGGAGTAATCTCTTTCTTTGTACTGCAGTGCCTTGCTGTGCAGCACTAGACGTCTTAAATCTGTGCAATATACTCTTAAGATTGCAGCAAGGGACATGTTTCCTGCAACAGTTACTGGTTGGTAAGAGTGTAGCCTAGTGTAGAGAGATAATATACACAGTTGCCAGTTAGTTTAGTTCATTTATTATGCACCCCATACCCATCTTGTGGGCGGTAGTGGAAAGGGTTACAGAGGCACATAATGGGCTCAGGGACTGAACCCCACAATTCATTTAGCTAAGCAAGTTACAATCTTGATGAGCTAGTTACAAAATTCAATATAAGTCATCACATCAACAATGGGTTCGAGATCGACCTCAAGTACAGGTTCTAAATTAAGCAACTGACATATGTGGAGAGCTAGTGTCAAAATTTATATGTTTGTCCTGCACACCGCCCCCCATCCAGTGGGCAGCGGTGGATAGGTTACAATTACTTAGTTACTACCTACAGTTCAGCGGACGTAGTGTCAGGCATCCTCTGGCCACCAGCCAGATTCACGAAAGCACTTACGCATACACCTACGAACCTGTCCATCTTTTCTCAATCTTTGGCGGCTTTGTTTACAATTATTAAACAGTTAATGAGTTCCGAAGCACCAGGAGGCTGTTTATAACAATAACAACAGTTGATTGGCAAGTTTTCATGCTTATAAACTTGTTTAATAAATGTAAACAAAGCAGTCAAAGATTGAGGAAAGATGTACACGTTCGTAAGTGCGTAAGTTCTTTCGTGAATCTGGAGGGAACTGATTAACAAAGAATAAATGTTGGTAAATTTCAACTATCTGGATTCTCATTGGAACTATTAGAAATATTTGTTTCCAGAATTCATAGCCACATTGTCCCTTTTAATAGCTGTAGTGACACCATGGGCATTTTAACACCTGCTTCTTGAAAACTTTGAATTTGCTGCTCTATGCGCATATACAAATGTGGACGTTCTTGAAAGATAATTGTTGCATTTTAAATCATTCATGGCTTGTGACTGGCCAGAAAGTTTTCTTGGACTTTACAGTTGGGCAGTGACAAGTGAGGAACTTGTAAACAAGCTAAGCCTAGCCTAAGTGTCTCGACAAAGGACATTATCTTGAAACTCTTAAAACATATTTTGGCGATTAGTTGTGATCTATAACACTTCCTAACAGGTAGATGCTTATGAACTTAAAGTATAACTTAAGCTATCACTCGTAAACCTTTACCGTTAAGCAGACCAGGAGCCAGATTCATGAAAGCACTTACGCAAGCACTTACGTACCTGTTCATCTTTTCTCAATCTTTGGCGGCTTTGTTTACAATTATTAAACAGTTAATGAGCTCCGAAGCACCAGGAGGCTGTTTATAACAATAACAACAGATGAATGGCAAGTTTTCATGCTTATAAAATGTTTAGTAAATGTAAACAAAGCCGTCAAAGATTGAGGAAAGATGTACACGTTCGTAAGTATTTGCGTAAGTGCTTTCGTGAATCTGGCCCATGGTTGTGGACTACTACATAGTGGTGGCAAACACACACACATACATGTGTGTAGAGAAATTACAAACACAATACTGAGCATATATGTGATGGTTCGGTTTCTTGTGTATGTTGTGTTATTGGCGTTACCTCTCCTGGGGCCTGATTCACAAAAACACTTACGAACCTGTCCATCTTTTCTCAATCTTTGGCGGCTTTGTTTCCAATTATTAAACAGTTAATGAGCTCCGAAGCACCAGGAGGCTGTTTATAACAATAACAACAGTTGAATGGGAAGTTTTCATGCTCGTAAGCTGTTTAATAAATGTAACCAAAGCCGTCAAAGATTGAGGAAAGATGTACACGTTCGTAAGTGCTTGCGTAAGTGCTTTCGTGAATCTGGCCCCAGGTGTGCATTGATGTTGATACATTGGGTCTTCCTACAATCTTCACTCACTATGAAGAATGTATACAAATTGTCTAGCAAATTCTCGACATGATTTAAGTCACCTCTCCCTTTTTTACGAAGTTTTCAGAGAATTTCATAGGAAAATATATTGTAGCGTAGTGTGGTGACGTAACGGATGTTTTAAAACTAAATTCCTGTTTTCCTCAATTTCAACTTAAACGAGCAATGAAATATATATCATAGAGTTTATAAACCTTTCGACTGTAATGGACTTCACAGATTCTTTAAATCTAATGAAGAATGTTTCCAAGAAGTTATTGTGAATTTTGCGAAATTTAATTTGTGGATATGTTTGGTGTTAATAATTCTTGATTTTTTTATAATTGGTGCAACTTGGTTAAAATGAGGCTTCCAGCTCACTCTTAAGTTCAAATGGTGTTGCGAGTTCACTCTTGAGTCAGTAGTTCACAGATGAAACTCATGTACTTGGTTCAAGTATGTTTACTGAGATAAGAAAGATATACATCTCAAAGGGATAGAATAGCTTAGGCTATTTCTAACCCCCCTATGTACTTGGTTGTAGTGTAAATGTTGATAAACCCTTTTTATGATAAGGTTGTGAATAATCAAGTCAAATGAGCATTCTCAAACTTTCGAATGTTTACATGAAATATATATACACTATTTTAATGTTAATTTATCAACTAGTGTCTGTCAACAGTGTATGCATAAATGGCAAAAATACATGTACAAATGTATCAAACAGGTTAATATGGGTATTATAATGGGAATAGGAGCATCGACAATGTAGTTGAAAAGGTGTATTTTTTGCCTAATAAAATTATATAAGCATGCGGGATGACTCGTGCCAAAAAGGTGCGGAATTAAGGATGTGACGTTTAATGTCAGCAGCTCTTGAGGTTGGAATGTGTGTTATCAATATAGGGCTGAGGTCAGGGGCGCAGGTTCCAGATTCACGAAAGCACTTACGAACCTGTACATCTTTTCTCAATCTTTGGCGGCTTCGTTTCAAATTATTAAACAGTTAATGAGCTCCGAAGCACCAGGAGGCTGTTTATAACAATAACAACAGTTGATTGGCAAGATTTCATGCTTGTAAACTGTTTAATAAATGTAAGCAAAGCCGTCAAAGATTGAGGAAAGATGTACATGTTCGTAAGTGTTTCCGTAAGTGATTTCGTGAATCTGGTCCCAGGACTGTATGTGTGGGTGCTAGGCTAACGAGACATTAACAGTAGCCATACACACCCCGTCCCTCATTCTCGCCTTGTATATCTCTCTCTCCATTATCTTCTATGTTAATTTTCAATAAAGTGTTACGTTATAAGAGACTGTGTATCTGTATCCTTTGCTATAGAATACGGAGCTTCCTGCTAGTAAAGAGACCAAATGGGAGAACTTTTGTCACGTCAAAGTGGCGGGTGGAAACTAGTTTTAACGACCAGGCTACACCACATGGAGTTGAATTTCCATGTTGGCTTTTTTATCATGGCTCGGGGATAGTACGTTCTTGCTGGGAAAGATCTCTTCCATTCTTCCTGGTTAGTTTATACTGGTGTGTTGTGAACCTTAAGACGAGTCGTCTGTTCCATCACATTGACGGGTAGATAGTTCCAGAGATTCAGCGAATAGACTGTTATATTGCGTTGGCAGATAGACTACCTGTTCCATTGTTATTGACCGGGGTAAAAAATGACTGTTTCATGACTATTGGATAGACCTATATGGCTTTTGATGGGTAGACTATAATTTGTCAAGTAGACTATTTCATGACTTTGGCTGGTAGGCTTCCATAGCTTTAGCAGATAAACTACTTAGTATCTTCAGCGGGTAGAATGTTCGGTAGTTTTGGCGAGAACACTTATGTAACTTTAGCGGGTACACTATTCCATAGCTTTCACGTGTAAATTTATCTATTACTTCATTATAATCCACCTCAGTAGCTAACATTGTCAGTAGAGAGCAAAGCTAACCCCAGACAAATGGTTAATGGGGAGAATCCTAAGGGAGGGAAGCATTCGCCATCTCACAGCAAAGTCTTGTAAAATAGACTCGACATGGGTTTGTTAAAAATAGATCTTGCCTTACAAGGCTGTTCACACCTTTGGTAACGGTAACCAGCTATTCAAACAAAGGACTTCCGGTGAATGGAGAATACATGGACTTTACTAAAGCTTTTGATAAGGTATCACATGAAAGACTAACAAGGATATTGGAGGCACATGGAATAAACGGCAGAATACTAGAATGGATAAAATAATAGTTAAAACAAAGAAAACTAAATGGGAATGAGTCTGACTTTGAGAAATGTGGTGAGTGGAGTACCATAGGAGTACATTTTGGGGCCAAACCTTTTTCTCACATACATCAATAACATTGATGAGAATATTGCAAACTACATCATCAAATTTGCAGACGACACTAAGTTTTATGGTAAAGTGAGAAATAAATATTATGAAGGCTTATAAAGAGATCTTCATGAGCTCAAATGGTCAGAAGACTGTTATATGCTTCTTAATATCGATAAATGCAAGACTGCAAGTGTGGAGTAACAACCCGCGTCACACGTGCCAAATTAATAACATTACATTACAGCAGATATTGTAACTTAGCTAAATGAATTGTGGGGTTCAGTCCCTGAGCCCATTATGTGCCTCTAACCCTTTCCACTACCGCCCACAAGATGGTTATCTTGAGGTTATCTTAAGATGATTTCGGGGCTTTAGTGTCTCCGAGGCCCGGTCCTCGACCAGGCCTCCACCCCCAGGAAGCAGCCCGTGACAGCTGACTAACTCCCAGGTACCTATTTTACTGCTAGGTAACAGGGGCATAGGGTGAAAGAAACTCTGTCCATTGTTTCTCGCCGGCGCCTGGGATCGAACCCAGGATCATAAATCCAGCGTGCTGTCCGCTCGGCCGACCGGCTCCATTGAAACTTAAAATACTGAACAAGTTAGAGTATGTTGATTGTGAGATTTTCTTCAGAAGGTCGAATGTAACACAAAAAGGAGCAACGATTTCAACCTTAACTAGCCACAGTTTAGGACAAAACAGGAGATGCTATTTCACCCACAGGGTTATAAACCCGTGGAACTGCCTACCTGCCGAAGCCGTAAATGCCAAAACTGTGATTAGTTTTAAAATCTGCATGAATAAGGACAAATAGGGGAGGGGGGGGGGAACGTTCGAAAAGCCGTCGGCTTCCTGTCCTCATCGCAACCACTAGAGTTGGTGGCCCTCAGTAAATCAGGGAAGTTTTTCTTCCATGTCATTGATGTATTCACCTAGTTGTGCTTGCGGGGGTTGAGCTCTGGCTCTTTGGTCCCGCCTCTCAACCGTCAATCTACTGGTGTACGGATTCCTGAGCCTATTGGGCTCTATCATATCTACACTTGAAACCGTGTATGGAGTCAGCCTATACATGTATATGACAAAAAGAGTTTACCCCCCAAATGGAACATTGCGGTACCAACTCACCACATTTCTCCAGTCTGATTAATTTTTTAATTGTATATAATTATATTATTATTATTACTATTGTTATTATTATTATTATTAGTGTTATTAATATTATTATTAGTTATGTGAAGGAGAAGAGGGTCGGGACGCGGCCGACGTCACTCCCCGCCACATCGAAATCAACAAACAGACGATACACCAATATTAACTTTGTAATTGATATACATAAGTGTATGAGGTAGAGAATAAGTTAACATTACCGAGAGGAGGATATTTAAGGGCCAGGAGGCCTTGCCGAGACCCGGTTAACGAGGCTTTTAGACTGAAATAAGGGCAGGAGGGTGTCCGTGCCACAAGGGCACAAGTGGAGCAGCGCCAGTGACAGCCACAACAAGGCAACATTTCCTCCACAACTTTTTACCATTTTTCACCCTTAATTGCCATTTTGAGCCGCCGGATTTACACCATTCCACACCAGGAGGACGATGGTGACGGCTCTGTGTGTGCTGGTGAGATAGTGTGACGCCCAAGGCAGAAAAAGCGGCTTGAAAAGGAGTTTTGAGAGGCTTAAGGTGTGAGGGGAGAGACGGTCCGGGGGATCACGGCGACGCTTCTTTAAGGTCTCCTGCATCATGTAGACCTCTTCCTGCAAGCCTAAGATGGTCAAGAGGAAGCGCACTCTCAGCAGCAAGGACAGCACCGACGCCACCCACCTCAGGTAAGAGATATAATATATATACGCTGGGGTAAGAGGTTTGTGTCCCCGCCATCTTTGTTTAGGTCCACAGGTCAGCGTTTAAATTTATGGGTGAAGAAGCTGTATTTCCCGGCTGTCACGACCTTCCTTGGCTGCTGCGAGGGTGATGACGCTGTCTGGATGCTGTAGGGAGTGAGAAACGGAGATTTTGAGAGAAATTTCGGCGTTTTTGAGGGTAATTTAAGATGATTCCCGTAGATGGTGATATTCAACATGGCTGCCCCTCGGCACCTCTAGGGGCGGGTCGTCCTCAAGGTGTCTAATTAGTCCTGGACGCTCTTTAAGAAATGACTAATTACCACGATGAATATATGGTGTTGAGGGTCATCTGATGAGTAATGCCAATCATTAATTCAATGTGGCTGCTCCTCGTCACCTCTAGGGTCGTCCTCAAGGAGTCTAATTAGTCCTGGATGCTCTTCAAGAAATCACTAATTACCACGATGAATAGATGGTGTTGGGGGTCATCAGATGAGTAATGCCAATCATTAATTAAAGAGAGCAGTTAGTTTGGGTGTAAGAGTGACCTGTATGATCGCGGGCTTTTCTCTAGAAGGAAGTGCACAGCTATTCTGGGAATTTTCTGTTCACTGGTTTGGCTGATGTGTAATGAATATCAGTTATCCTCTGGCGGCATGTGTAAGTAGACAGTAGTGAAAGGAGTTATGTGATTGATTGATAAAGATTAAGCCACCCAAACGGTGGCATGGGCATGAATAGCCCGTAAGTGGTGGTCCTTTTGAGCCATTACCAGTATCAAGAGCTGATACTGGAGATCTGTGGAGATGCGACTGCACCCTGCGTGACGGGAGATGTCTCCCGTTGAGTTATGTGAATGGAGCTGTACTGATGTGTTGAAGCAGTAAATGGGTCTAAATTACACCTCATGGGATCTTGGCAGAGAGGATTCACTGCCTTCTAGATGTAGTCTAATGTACGTGGATTATATTCATGTGATGTATCATGTTTCTTTTACAAATACAAAATACAAATATTTATTTAGGTAAAGTACATACATACAAGGTGAGATACAAAAGTTGATGGATGTATAGATAGAGCTAGTACATACAGTGCCTAAAGCCACAATTACGCAAAGCGTTTCGGGCAGATTTTAGGTTAAAGTCTTAGTTTTGTGTAAGGTCAGAGGAATAGGGCGATACCATTAGATGTTAATGTGACTACTACTGTACCACAAATAGGTGAGAACATTGGCTGATGGTATTTTCATCCAAAGTTGTTTTCCATAGAGCATTATGGTCTGGGAGTAGGGTAGTAGAGTAGGGTGTTTAGGGTTCGGGTAGTACAGGCGGGTTCGTTCTTGACTCTCAATTGAGAATTCCAGGTTAGAATCCCAGGCTGGACAGAAATGGTTGGGCACATTTCCTATCACCTAATGCATCTGTTCACCTAGCAGCAAGTAGGTACCCAGGAGGTAGTCACCTTGTTGTGGGGTTTCACATGGGGGGGAGGGGGGGGGGGACCTCAATGTGAGCCTAATGTGTATAAACACAGTCAGGCTGCCTGTCCCCTAACACAGTTAATTATTATGCTAAGCCAACTGTATTACAGCTCTATTTCCAGTAATAGAACCAAATACTATATCAGGAAACCATACAATTTATGCTAAGATGCTTTCACATTATATTGAAGTACAGTATTTGTTTTTTGTTTGTTGAGCCTAATACGCATGTTATGTTATGTTATCAATTAGCACAGCGTGCCTTAGGTTTGTGTCCAAATATGGTAATACAGTAAGCTTGTATCTGAAGAGTGCAATATTAAATGGGGTCCAATTTATGCAGTATTCCATGGTCTGCATCCAATTACCAGTAGTGTAGTGTCCCATTATTTTATATCTAATTATTGCTATACCGCAAGTAAGTAAGTAATTATCAAAAGAAGGCACCAAACCGGGAAGGCTATGTATGCTATACCACAAGTGCTTGTATCAATTATTGCAGTACTACAAACATATCACCCACAAACACTTGTATTTGATTATTGTACTACCACAAGCACTTGTTTCCAATTACTACAATGCCACAAAACACATGAATCATAATATTGCAGTGCCACTGCACTTGTATCCAATTATTACAGTACCACAAACACTTGTATCCAATTATTACAGTACCACAAACAATTGTATCCAAATACTCTTGTGCCACAAGCATTTGTATCGAATTATTACATTGTCACAGGCACTTTCTATCAAATTAGAAGTACCACAGGTTCTTGTATACAGGTAGTGTAGTATCCCATGGACTTGTGTAAATTAGTGCATTGTCCAGTGATCTTAAGCCCTGCACTGTGCACCTGTTACATGAGCCTCTCTTGAGGTGTGCATTAACCCTCAGACAGCAGCTATGAAGAAATCATCATACCCACCTGTGGAAAAAATCAAACAAATAATTTTTCACTATGGAATTATCAATTTGTATGAATAATGTAAGAAAAACACTCTAAGTGAATATTTATCGTTTCATTGAGTAAGGCGGCTCTGTAAGGCTGTGTTTGGCACTTGATTGTTTTATTACTTTTTCTTTACATCCACAGAGAGCTTTTATATTCATATTTGCATTATACACGTAAAACCCAGACATTAATTGTGGAAGAAGGGAAGAAAGGTCAGAAAGAGAACACAGACAATACTACAGAAGAAGGAAAAAATAACGAAAAAACATGACTATCCCAACTGAGAAATATTATGTAAACAGCGATATTAAAGAAATAGAGCAGAAGCTGAAGAAATCATACCAGATTGAAAAATTGGGCAGCAGAAAATAGTATGTTTATCAGTGATAAATTCCAATTACTCAGGTATGTAAAAAATGAAGACCTTAAATGAAATACAGGGTACAAGATACAATCTGATGTATACATAGTAAGAAAGCAACTTGTAAAGGATATGGGAATAATGATGTCTTGACTACCTATCATTTAGGGAGCATAACCAGGCAAATATAGTGTCGGCTAGAAAAAGGATAGGATGGATTATAAGAATATTTAAACCCATCAATACCATGACAAATGCTCATACTATTCAAATCACTGGTGCTGTCAAGCCTTGAGTACTGTTCGATACTCACGTTTCCCTTCAGAGCAGGAGAGATTGCTGAAATAGAGGGAATATAGAAAACATATACAGCACACACACAGACATGTTAAAGCACCTAAATTATTGGGATCGTCTCAAAGCTCTCAAAATGTACTCCCTTGAATAGAGACAAGAGGTATCATATACTATATATTTGGAAAATACTGTACTGGAAGGCCACGTTCCAAATTTGCACTGTAAAATAACAACATACTGGAGCGAATGATATGGCAGGAAATGCAGAATAGAGCCAGTGATGAGTAGAGGTAGGCACAATCAGAGAATACTGAACATCAGAGGTCCACAGTTGTTCAATATCCTCCCAGCAAGTAAAAGAAATATTGCTGGAACAAAAGTGGAAGTCTTCAAGGAAAACCTAGACAGTTTTTTGCAATAAGTGCCAGACCAACCAGGCTATAGTGGATATGAGGGGCTGCAAGCCACTCCAAGCAACTGCCTGTTGGACCAGACTCTTACAAGTCAAGCCTAGCCCCAGGGTGGGCATGGAGTAGAACTCCCAAAACTTATTCCAGGTAAGATCCAGGTAATTAGCTTCAGGGAGCCTCCAATAGGTTTCTCCCAGAAGATCAGTGTTGAAAGTAATGAAACAACTTTTTGTGGTAGTGCCCTGGTGGTTCCCTGTCTCGCTTCCTCTACTAGGTTCGTTGGTTCATTGGTTCAGGATGCATCAGCTCTAGACTGGCTTTGGAGTCAGTTGTGGGCTGGAGTTTTGTGCCTCCTGGTGGTGGCTATCAGTATTAATGGGTTTACACAAGTTAAAGTGAATCGTTCATTTTCATCTTGGTTTGCCTGGTCATTTGGCTCTGGTTCTAAATAAGCCATAGAGGATTCTTGCAACTGGTGACCTGATAGTGGGAAGGCAGTTCTACCAGAAAGAGGCATTCCATTACATTCACTACTGCTTTTCCTTTAATTTTAATTCTAACTGAAAAACATTGTGTAAAATAGGAATTATATATATATACTAGTACATATCATAGTATACCTTGAGTTGGTTCCATAGATCACTGCCCCAGCAGTCTTAACTCTGATCAGGCCAACATGGTGAAAGCTTGACCAACCGGACTCTTGATACTTGCAGTTCACATTCCGACATAGGCATCTATTTTTTAATACTTTTAGGGGTTTGTTGTTATGTCTAATTATTCTTATTTTCAAGTTACACCAATGAGTTCTTAAGATTTTATATAACTGAGCAGCAGTTGCATGCAAGCCACCATTATTAATTATAAGGTCACTAATTGTCTATACTGTTATCTAAATTTTCAGTGATGTAGACCAAGTGAGTGATGATGCCAAACGGGTTAAAAGTCAAGGGAGTCCTGGGAGGCCAGAAGGAGATGCGGGGGGTGATGAGGCAGCGGACATTCAGCAGAGTCCCATAGGTTCTCCTACGTCACCCAACACCTCCATAACCACAGCTACATCACAAGGTAATTATTTTTTTAATTACCTAAGTGTAGTTACAGGATGAGAGCTACGCTCGTGGTGTCCCATCTTCCCAGCACTCTTTGTCATGTAACGCTTTGAAACTACTGACGGTCTTGGCCTCCACCACCTTCTCACCTAACTTGTTCCAACCGTCTACCACTCTGTTTGCGAAAGTGAATTTTCTTATATTTCTTCGGCATCTGTGTTTAGCTAGTTTAAATCTATGACCTCTTGTTTTTAAAGTTCCAGGTTTCGGGAAATCCTCCCTATCGATTTGATCAATTTCTGTTACTATTTTGTATGTAGTGATCATATCACCTCGCTTTCTTCTGTCTTCTAGATTTGGCATATTTAATACCTCTAACCTCTCCTCGTAGCTCTTGCCCTTCTTCTAATTCTAAGGTGGGTATGGGTTTGTGCTCTTTGTTTGATTTGAATATTAGGTTGCACAAATTTATTATCCCTTAAATTGCGAGTACTGAATCACCATGTGTTGAGTCTTGGGTTATATAGATATCATCATATCTTGAGGTTATCTTGAGATGATTTCGGGGCTTTAGTGTCCCCGCGGCCCGGTCCTCGACCAGGCCTCCACCCCCAGGAAGCAGCCCGTGACAGCTGACTAACACCCAGGTACCTATTTTACTGCTAGGTAACAGGGGCATAGGGTGAAAGAAACTCTGCCCATTGTTTCTCGCCGGCGCTTGGGATCGAACCCAGGACCACAGGATCATAAGTCCAGCGTGCTGTCCGCTCGGCCGACCGGCTCCATCATAGGTGGAGTTAAGTTAGCACCTGGATTTTCTGATAATGATGTAAATATGGTTATAATACATCGCTGTGGATGTAATTTTGTTAACCCATGGAAAATCTATATTATTTTTAATTGCTTAATATAAGTGAGGTTATCTTGTACCACCAGCAAGGCAATTGTCAGTTCACAATTAGTTGTCTCCCACCTGTGTTTGAATTTATTTATGGAAGACATTACCAGACAAAGTAGCAGTAAATGATTGGGCTGCAAGATGCTTCCTTTGAGCTGTGCCAAGAACAAATTTACATGCAATATAGGTGTATACACACTTGACAACTTATGATAATCAAATTTGTACCTTATAACTCCTTTTTTGGTTATAAAGTATAAATAAAATAAACACTGATGTATATAAGGGGGTGGTAGGAGAAGACTATATGTGCCAGCGCATGTGGGAGTCCAACAAAGCTCCCCGGGGTGCTGCATATCCTCTTCTTTGAGGTTTGAGGGTCCTTACAATCATCTAGAGGTAGTACCCCTTCTTTGTTACATTGTAGGCCTATATACAGGCCTGTATATAGTACTCGATCACCGTTTTCTTGGAGGGCTCCTAAGTTGGCTCCTTGTTGCTAGCTACCTGGATAGCTCCACCCAATTAATCCACTTCAGGCCTTTGTCATTGTAAGCTAATGGGGACAAGAGGTCAAAACCAAACCGCCCCCTATAGAGGCAGAAGGAGCAGAGGATGCTAGATCACTCTAACCAAGAAAAAGCTTCCAGAAAGGCAAGAGAGAGACAACACAGACAATCACCAAGGTAAATAGAACCTAAAAAGCCAGAAATGAGATGCCAAACTGACTGACAATCACCTGGTCATGAGGAAGTTCATTAGTTCCACCTCCCCACCTTGGGGAGCCGGTTGGCCGAGCGGACAGCACACTGGACTTGTGATCCTGTGGTCCCGGGTTCAATCTCGGGGGCCGGTGAGAAACAATGGGCAGAGTTTCTTTCACCCTATGCCCCTGTTATCTAGCAGTAAAATAGGTACCTGGGTGTTAGTCAGCTGTCACGGGCTGCTTCCTGGGGGTGGAGACCTGGTCGAGGACCGGGCCGCGGGGACACTAAAACCCCGAAATCATCTCAAGATAACCTCAAGATAGATTACACACTACTCGGTGACTGCACACCTAGCTGCTCGATCCCCCTAGCCAAGCCTTGACAGTCAAGTTATTTTGCCTGACAGGATGGATTGGGTCAGCTGGCCTACACCACCCTCAGTTCTTATGATGGAACATGTCAACTCCCAGGGAATATCTTGAGATCTTATCTTGCGATGACTTCGGGGCTTTAGTGTCCCCGCGGCCCGGTCCTCGACCAGCCCTCCAACCCCAGGAAGCAGCCCGTGACAGCTGACTAACACCCAGGTACCTATTTTACTGCTAGATAACAGGGGCATAGGGTGAAAGAAACTCTGCCCATTGTTTCTCGCCGGCGCCCGGGATCGAACCCGGGACCACAGGATCACAAGCCCAGTGTGCTGTCCGCTCGGCCGACCGGGAAGGGTGGGGTTTCAGGGGGTCTGGGACTCGCCCGGTCCTCCTCCATTCTTCCACTGGGGGGGGGGGGGGGGGCCCCCCCCAATTCTTAAACTGCTTAAACATAAACATTGTCCAATTGGTAGTGAATGTATTGTGTACAACTGTGTAATTTTCTCCTCTTCAGTGATTTATTTTAATGTATATTTGGTTATGCCCATGAACAAAAATATTACAGTATTATATACAAAATGTGAAAACGGCTGACTTTCTTCCAGGGACAGTGCTAGCAACTTCAACAGTTCCTGTAACTCTTTCTCAACCACTGCCAGATGTGCCTTTATCTACAACACCGGTTGTTACACAAACACGACCAACACTGCAACTACGTACAAGTGCCAGAGTGCTCAATAAACAGCGTCGAGAAGAAATTAAAGCCGATCACACTCCCTCTTCTTCATTATTAACCAAGAAGTCTGATGCTGCAGGTCAGTACTTGCAACAACATTAATAATTCGTGAATTTAGATCATACAAAATGTCAGTATACAGTCCAGTATCTTTGGTGAGGTATAGTAGGTTATCTTGAGGTTATCTTGAGATGATTTTGGGGCTTTAGTGTCCCCGCGGCCCGGTCCTCGACCAGGCCTCCACCCCCAGGAAGCAGCCCATGACAACTGACTAACACCCAGGTACCTATTTACTGCTAGGTAACAGGGGCATAGGATGAAAGAAACTCTGCCCATTGTTTCTCGCCGGCGCCTGGGATCGAACCCAGGACCACAGGATCACAAGTCCAGCGTGCTGTCCGCTTGGCCGACCGGCTCCCACGTAAATTTAGTTTCATAATTTAATGCAATAATAGTACTACTCTTGCAATGGTTTCTAAAGAATTCTTATATTTTATTTGTTAGATCAAGAATGCCTGTTCATTAATCAAGAAGTGTTAGTCAAATTAGATTTGTCAAGGGTTTTAATGTTAAATTATTTAAAGATATTAACATGCTGAAACTGACTTAGTATAGTCAACTGACTTGAAATCTCTGTCCAACCATATATTAAAAAGGGTAAGGATGGATATTGCTATGAAATGAGTTATCTTATATTGCCACAAACTCTATTGCAACTTATTAAATGTTAGATTGGTCGAGATAGGCTTGTTGACTGTTAGATCAGTTGGCTACAGTATTTTCTGGGGGGAGCCCCGTCGGTTTCCCGGAGCCTCTGGAGGGAGAGACAAGGAAGCACTCCGAGCATCCCACACAAGACCCATCTGGTTCCCTCTCATGTTTGGTCTTGGCAGGGTCTTGTGTGGGACACTCGGACTGCTTCCTTGTCTCTCCCTCCGGAGGCTCCGGGGAGCCTCCGGGTCTCGCCCAGAAAATGGTGTTTCATTACATTCAATGCTGGTTTATTAGCTTTAAAGATGATATATTAGTAATAGAATCATCTGTGTAAAATATACTAAAACCCTTTACATTGCAGTAGCCATTTCTTCTCCTGTAAATACCTCCCTGAAATACCTACATTCTTCGTGAGTTGTGATTGTAGCTGGAAAAGTACTCGTGTACCCTTAAACTCGGTTTCATATTTCATTCAGTAATTTTTAAACTATGTGGATCAGATGTTTATAGTAATATCATTATTTCAGGATTAGATGGGGATTTTGCTGAGGAAGATGATGCTCTTGGGAGTGGCATTGGGAAGAAAAGGAGGCGTGCATGGGAATTATGGTCAATGGAAGACAAGAATATTTTCTTTGAATCAATCAATGAGTGTGGTAAAGACTTTGAAGCTATTCAGGTAAGGAAATTTTGCCGAGTGTAAAAAATCTAATTCTTAAATAAATTCCTTTACTGCATTTTATATGTTGAATTGCTAAAGATAATTTCCTGTATAACTCTGGGAGTTTAAGAAGAAAGCTCTAGAATATAAAAAAAGTATGGGAGTAAAGGCTCCATTTCTGGAAATTTTTGTGCCATCCTCACGAGGCATCCCAACTTTAGTAAGAGTTGCGTAACCCTTGTAATATATTTCTGCACACTTCATTCTCACCTTATTATTATTGTCTCTTATGCATAAAAATCTGAATGTGACCTTATTTGGAACAATATATGCATATTATGTTTACACAGTGCACACGATCTTCACATGGGGTTGATACCTGGTTGATGGGGTTCTGGGAGTTCTTCTACTGCCCAAGCCCGGCCTGAAGCCAGGCTTGACTTGTGAGAGTTTGGTCCACCAGGCTGTTGCTTGGAGCGGCCTGCAGGCCCACATATACCTGCTTGATGGGGTTCTGGGAGTTCTTCTACTGCCCAAGCCCGGCCCGAGGCCAGGCTTGACTTGTGAGAGTTTGGTCCACCAGGCTGTTGCTTTGAGCGGCCCGCAGGCCCACATACCCACCACAGCCCGGCCCGAGGCCAGGCTTGACTTGTGAGAGTTTGGTCCACCAGGCTGTTGCTTGGAGCGGCCCGCAGGCCCACATACCCACCACAGCCCGGTTGGTCCGGCACTCCTTGGAGGAATAAATCTAGTTTCCTCTTGAAATTGTGGGTTGCGGACAATATCGTCAATAGAGGCAGTGGAAGAGGAAGGGTGGATATATAAGAAGTAACAAAAGTGACTGAGGAGAATCAAACAAGTATAGATACTGGGAAATCAGTGGGAAACATGGCTAGTAAAGAGTCTTTGTAGAAGCAGCTGAAGGCTTGGAAGTAAAGCAGGTAATAAAATCAGCAGTGTTAAAGGTCCTGAAACTCGAGCAAGTTGTGAAATGCACTAATCAGGAGTTGGAGAGGAAGCATTGTCGTTGCTTTCCAAATGGTACCAAATGGTGTAGTGATTACAGTCCTCTGCGACTCCCTTTGAAAGTTTCCGTCAGCCCCCATTAATAAGCTCACCTTTCGATAACCCCATTGTAATAGCCTTGCCCACAGATCTTCATACACTATTGAAATGGATGTCAAGGGCGAGAGTGAGATTGGATAGAATAAAGCAGCTTCAGAGTAATGTACACAAACATAGATGGGATTACAAATACAGCAAGTGAACTTGGTGAAAGGTCACACAAAGAAAACTCAGATATAATTGAACTCGCAGCAGAAAAATTGTCAGGTGTCTTAACTAATTCGGTGTTTCCTTAAGACTACCATATAGTAATGAAGGAGGGGGGGAGGAGGAGAAGGGGAGGGCCTTGCTGTAATGAGAAAGGACTAGAGTTCCAAGGAGATAGTTATCCCAGGCTGTGAAGGTTTTCGGGACTACATAATAGGAAACATGTCAATAGGAGGACGAAAAATAGTACAATATACAATCCTCCACCAAGATTTAAGGACATGCAACTAAAGAGCTAAATGGCTGTAGGAAATTGGAATGCACTAATGTGAGTGTAACGGTTCTATTATTACGTAAAGTATGGTGACAAATAAACACAGACACTAAGATACTATATATATATTTGGTCGAATATACAGAAGTACACAGGTGATACTTTGGTGTGAGTTGAGCGCACTGAGCGTCGGTACAGTATCTCGCAAGTGTCTGCTCTAGACCACACTTGAAAGTAGACTCTCGTTAATGTTTGCTATTCTGCTGCTTATATGCTCGGGCAACACCTCACCGTGTTGCCCGGGCAACGCCTCACCTCATTCATCTCCAAAGGTTGACAGGAATATTAACAAAGCATTTGGAGCGAATATATTATTGGGATAATCTACTCGCTACATGAGAAAACAAATTTTTATTATTTAGTACATAAATAAGTGTCCTATGTGGCCAAACCACACCAAGACTTACTGCATAAATGAGTTTAACTCTAATTAACTGGACATGTTTTGGTTAGTGGGCATGAAAAAACAAAAATTTTTACATATCGGCCACTGAGAAATCCGGGAAATAGGTATACGAATAATCCAGCCCAGCCTCCTTAACACTTTCACCCACAAACGACGCAGCACTGTAATACATTGCCTTGACTCACTTTCTTCTGTGCCTTTTCATGTCCCCTTCTTGGTGAGCATTCTGCTGATGGGGGAAGCTGTTCCATAGCTGTTCCATAATAACCATAACTAAACCTGCAAAGTCCACTAAATGAGACTTGGTTAAATGGACTTCCCAAGAGTGATTACTGATTAATAACACTTTAGGCACAATCGTCAGTTTGCTCGGGAAGCTGCCGAGGGCCCACCAGAAAAAGGGTGTTTCATTACACTTAACTTTAGATTTATTCGGGAGATTTATAGGCTTTCTCTTCTACCAAATATATTTTTAAAAATAATTTTTCTTTATAAATCACTCAAGAGATATCTTTCTTTGCAGAATTATTTAACTACCAAACTTCGGAAAAAGGGTGCACGTAGTCAAATAAAAAATAAAGACCAAGTGCGGCACTTCTACTATCGAACATGGCATAAAATATCAAAACACATTACTTTCAATGAAGGTCAGTTCTTATAACTTTAGTAGTCGTCGTTTTTTAATTTTTTGTAATTTGTGGATTTCAAAACTAATTAAGAGTGAATTTAGTTTTTAATAATTAATTTTAATACAATTAATGCTGGCAAGGAAGAGCAAATTATAAAATGCCAGATTAGAAGTATTACAAAAATAAATAATAGCAATTTATTTTGCAGGCATAATTTCTGGTGATGTCTTTGAGGAGAAGAAAATTTTGATGGATACAAGGATAAGAAAATACTAAATATATATTTGTAAGGTTTTTATATTTGGAAGATGCAAAATAAGATCCCAGTGTACCGTTGATAGGTTAAGTAATAATTGTAAATAAGAAGCAATAAGATGCTTATCTTAACATACTAAGAAGGTTAGGTGAGGTCGGTGTTTTCTATGAAGCTTTTCAAGGTAAACTAAAATATTCACAATCAATTAGTATGTCACATATGCACTTATTAAATAAGCCAATATTGACTATAAGCAAGTGCGAGAACGGGTTGCTTTATCACTGCATTATCCCTCAGTTCCAGTTAATAATTGTTCTCCTATAACCGGAACTTTTTTTTTTTTTAAATATTCATATAAAATCCATTTTTAAACATATTGGGATGAAATTTTCACGAAGCTGTTGCCAAATAATTGGAGATTACGGGGTCACCATAGTCCGTGCTACTTGGAACTTGTTACGAGTAGCTGAATCTATAACAACAACAAATAATTGGAGATTTGTATAACATCTTCAAGTAATTTTAATATTGAAAAATAATTATGTAAAGCAACATCTTAATTGAGGATTGCCAATCATTCCTGATTAATGAAGATGAGATTGTTTATTTTGACAACTTTAATCATATATCTTAATTTCCCTTAGGTGTGAAGAAGGCAACTCAAGAACTCTACGGTCTTATAAACTATGGTGAATTACGGAAGAAAATTGGTGGTACCTTGGATGAGCGCAAGGCCCAGAAATTGCAGGAGCTTATAAGAAAAGGTTCCACCAGTGTGAGAGTGAAGGGGAAGAGTGTTCGTGTGAGGACCCCCATTTGTCGGGCTTTAAAGAAACTCAATCAGATTGAAGGTAAGGAGATGAAAAGTTTTTAACACCTGTTTTATACCTCGGTTAAAAATATTTTGTACGAGATAAAGTTTCACAATCTTCGTCTTCATTAATTCCTCATAGCAAAGAAAATATTTAACAAAAGCATTGAATTAATGTTATTATTGAATGATAGCTGATAAAAGGATGTCTTAAGGAGTAATTTGTAAAGTAGGAAAAGGGATATTGTGAAACTGTTTTGTTAGAAACAAAGAGAGATGATAATTTCAAACATTAATTAAATTTGAGTACAATATGAGCAAATTGCCTCATTATCTTGAGAGTATCTTGAGATGATTTCGGGGCTTTAGTGTCCCCGGGGCCCGGTCCTCGACCAGGCCTCCACCCCCAGGAAGCAGCCCGTGACAGCTGACTAACACCCAGGTACCTATTTACTGCTAGGTAACAGGGGCATAGGGTGAAAGAAACTCTGCCCATTGTTTCTCGCCGGCGCCTGGGATCGAACCCAGGACCACAGGATCACAAGTCCAGCGTGCTGTCTGCTCGGCCGACCGGCTCCCTGAGTTGGGCTGAGTTGATCCTCAGAATTAACAGGTATTGACAGGTCCAAATCAGCATGAAATCTGCTTTGATAGGAAGCTCTTAAAAATACAGTCAAATTACAGTTGGTAATGAAAAATGACATGTTTAACTGCAATAAAGTTGTCGACAAAACTACAGTATGTACTGTATTTCAGTGTGGAAAACAAAGACATTCAAATTGGTGTGATACAAGGTAGTCATATATTTTCACAGTAAGGAAGAAACAAGTAATAGATAAAGGAATATTAATATTAGGTTACCTAACATCCCTCAAAATCATGGACTCATGGAACCCCAGTGTGTTGCAGAACCCTAGTTGGAAATCGTTTGTCTAGTCCAGTATTTCTCAACCTTTATGCCCTTGAAATTATTCTGGGTCATACTTTAGATACACAAATACGGGTTTCAGGGAGCCGGTCGGCCGAGCGGACAGCACACTGGACTTGTGATGCTGTGGTCCCGGGTTCGATCCCGGGCGCCGGCGAGAAACAATGGGCAGAGTTTCTTTCACCCTATGCCCCTGTTACCTAGCAGTAAAATAGGTACCTGGGTGTTAGTCAGCTGTCACGGGCTGCTTCCTGGGGGTGGAGGCCTGGTCGAGGACCGGGCCGCGGGGACACTAAAGCCCCGAAATCATCTCAAGATAACCTCAAGATTCATTGTCAACTGAAAGGAGATGATTTCTGTCTGCGTTTGATATTGGCTGAATGAGAAAAAATAAGCACAAAAAGGACTCTAAATGAGGAAAATTAAACACAAAAATGACTCAAAAATACATTTGCATATCATTAGAATTAACCTATTTATCACATCTTAAAGAACCCTTAGTTACATTGAGGTTCTGTGGACATAGTCCCTTGTAACCATTGCTTGGTTTTGTCCTATATTTAGCTTCTCGTATTTTGTGTGTCCTGAGTTGACTGTTGTAGCCAGGGTTATCTTCTCAGGTTTCTGGCTTGTGTTTCTTCTGCTCCTCCAGAGTTACTTTCCCCTTGGTGTTTAGATGTGTTCCTCACATGGCATCTCACCACTGGTTAGTGCACTGTGAGGTTGCTCTGTCTGGGTCATTGGCATAGGTGGTTGGGCTTAGTGTTCCCTGTACATACCTCTTCCCTATTTTTTTTTTGCAATATTTTAATGTTCCTGGGCGAGGAAAGTTGGTGTCCCAAATGTCACGGACTTCACCAGATGATCTCTCTCTCTCTCTGCATACAGATTCTCAGGCATCTGGATATGATGTAGCTCTATCTTGAGGCATTTTCTTCCTGCTGGGAAAAGTCTGGTTACTTGGGATTACTGGATACTTTTCCTTGGCTATCCTTTAGCTCAAGTGTTTGTTGTCAGGCCTTGAGGGCTTAATGCTTTGCACAGATTCTTATTCTTGCTGTCTGGCACAGTATGAGCTACATTTGTCATTCACTCACTGCTATGTGTGTGTTGCTGGGCCACATTTGGCAGCCTAGATTAGCTTTCTAAAGATTTCTGTCATCTCGTGCTCTGGCTGTGGCATGGGCAGACTTGCTTTAGTTTCTGCTCAGTGACAGAGGATCATGCTGCAGCAAGATGAAGTATAATTCCTTTGTATATGGGTAGTCTTCTTAGTCTTGGCTGCAGTATGGGGATCCAGCTTCCTTCTGGCTGGCAGGGTAAACAAAATTCCAAGCTGTTGCTTGCTCTTGAGCATTTGTTTGCTTTTCAGGGTAACCATCGCTGATCCTCTAGCTCCACTTAACATCTTTGAGGGGGCCAAGATTCAGATCCTAGTCTTAGAAGGTGCCTGTATGCTAGAGTCCTGGGGACAGGTTCACGAAGTAGTTGCGGAAGTACTTATGAATGTGTACATTTTTCCTCAAACTTTGACGGCTTTGGTTACATTTATTAAACAGTTACAAGCCTGATAACTTGCCAATCAACTGTTGTTATTGTTATAAACGGCCTCTTTGTGCTTCGAAGCTCATTAGCCGTTTAATAATTGTAAACAAAGCCGCCAAAGATTGAGAAAAGATGTACAGGTTCGTGAGTGCTTGTGTAACTGCTTCGTGAATCTAGCCTCCTGGTGTGTGTTCCCTAAGACTTGGGTGAACAGGCTGTAACATTTGGGAGCTGCTGAGAGGACCACCAGAAAGAGGCATTTCATTACATTCAGTGATAGATTTTCCTCTCCCTCAGTAGTATTAGTTATATTACACTACAGCATTATCAAAATGTGTGTGTATTTGTTTCTCATCAGAAAACCGAGAAAATGCAGTGCTGAGGGTCCCGGCAAGCATAATGGTTGAGGTGGTTCCAGCAAGCATGCATGCTTGGTGTCGTGTGCATGGTCTGGCTCATAACCCACGTGTCAGGGTCACCTCACCACTTCAGCGACCTCTGGCAGTACTGATTTCCCATTTACAAGAAAAATGGCGCAGCTCAAATTTGAAACTTGTATCCTTTCTTTAATATTCACTCTTTATGCACGCTTATTTTATATTCTGTCTTTTTTAATATTGCTTTTAAACAAATAGCCTTCACATTTTTTTGGTAGCAAGGTGTTTTAAAAAATTTCTCGGACTGTGTGCGCGTCCACTTCCCCGTACATGTGGACACGTGAGACAGCTGTGTCAGTCAGGTAAATTATGTTTATTAATGACAATTGCATGAAGATAATTTATTTATTTATTTATATATATACAAGAAGGTACATAGGGATTGTGTGTGATACAGTATTAGACCGTGGCAACAGTCAATTCGATTGGAACTAATTAATAATTAGTTGACAACTTGTTCTTGGGTGTGTGTGTAATGTTCTGCGAGAGTATTTTTCAAGGTTGATTATTGTAAGGTAATATATAATATGAAATGTTTAGGAGTGTTGCAATGTTTGCTAAAATAAGTAGGATGTGCAAGGAACCAGAACAGTCTTTCTGATGCAAGTTTGTTGCCATTACATAATCAGCTGGTGATGAATAGTGAATTGGAACATTATTGTAATTTTGATAATTGATCTCATCATTTGTGTGTGAAAGGGGATTGTACTTTGAATCAATCTTCCCATTAAAGGTAATTATTCCCCTATCTTTCTGATCAATACTTTATATTATTTCTTTGTTTTTCTTATTCCTAACAAGAACAGTCAGGAATTGTAAGTACTCCTATTAATAAAGGAGTACTTACTCCTTTATTGAATGGATTAAGGCAGTAAAAGTTCTTTGCACATTCTCTAGGTCAGCAATTTCTCCAGCGTTGAATGGGGCTGTTAATGATCAACAATGTTCTACCCTGGAGTGCTCTAGTGTCTTTACAAATGTCATAACCGGTTTGGCATGTCGTTTGAATTTTTTTTCCAAGGAGGTTATCTTCTTGAGGTTATCTTGAGATGATTTCGGGGCTTTTTAGTGTCCCCGCGGCCCGGTCCTCGACCAGGCCTCCACCCCCAGGAAGCAGCCCGTGACAGCTGACTAACTCCCAGGTACCTATTTACTGCTAGGTAACAGGGGCATTCAGGGTGAAAGAAACTTTGCCCATTTGTTTCTGCCTCGTGCGGGAATCGAACCCGTGCCACAGAATTACGAGTCCTGCGCGCTATCCACCAGGCTACGAGGCTACGAGGGAGGGGGGAAGTTGGAGCTCCAGACCCCTCTTGGCAGCCACCCAACCTCAGTTCTGAGGCCATGGTACTCACCTAGTTGTGCTTGCAGGGGATTGAGCTCTGCTCTTTCCGCCCTCCTCTCAACTGTCAATCAACGATCATTTTTTTTTCTTGCATACCCCTTCCCTCCCAGGAAGCCGACCGTAGCAGCTGTCTAACTCTCGGGTACCTATTTACTGCTAAAAACAGGGGCATCAGGGTGAAAGAAACTGCCCATTTGTCTCCGCCATCGCCGGGGATCGAACTCCGGTCCCCAGGATTACGAGTCCTGAGTGTCCTTGTTGACTATTAATCCTTGGGCTCTGTTCATTAGAAATTAAAGATACATCTTCGTACTTTGCCAGTTGTAATTCCTTTTCTGTGCATTAACAGCATGGTTGTGACCATGTTATATAATATATTCACTCACTCAAGGGAAGCAGAAGGCTGAACACAAGGTACCATCTGGTAGGTGAAATCCTGCAAGAGTCAAATAGAGAGAAAGATCTGTGGGTTTATATCACACCAAACCTGTCCCCAGAGGCCCACATCAAAAGGACATCATCAGCGGCATATGCTAAATTGGCCAACATAAGAACTGCCTTTAGAAACTTGTGTAAGGAATCGTTCTGGACCATGTATACCTCTTATATCAAACCAATCCTGGAATAGGCAGCACTAGCCTGGAGTCCTACTTAGTTAAACATAAGACAAAGTTAGAGAAGATTCAGAGGTATGCCACCAGGCTAGTCCCAGAACTGAGAGGTATGAGCTACGAGGAAAGGCTAAGGGAGCTGAACCTTGTGAGAGAGAAAGAAAAGGTTTAGATTGAATGATTGATTTTGGTTAAATATATATTGTACAGTATTAATTTCCTTGACTAAGACTTAGTGTGACACTCTCTCTTCTCGAGTAACCTTTCCCCTGGAGCTTCAGCCAGTGATAGAGCCGATTCTACGTCTAACACCAGCCAAGGGCTATTTTGTCAAGCCGATTAATGTCCAGGTACAGTATCACAATTACATTGTGCATCCACCTTCAAGATTAATTTATGTAGATGAAAGCTTCGGTTAAAGGTACCATAAGTTTATGAAAGAACTCTCCATTGGAATAATGCTGTGAGATGACAGTAAAGCTTGGTAAGTAGTAACTGCTGGATTGTCAGTTAAGTTTTCTATTTTGTGGGGATCCCCGTCAGCTCCCTGAAGCTATCATCACTGATTAAGTGCCATACTACCAAATGTCATCAGCTGTGGAGTTCTTTTTCTCAACTGGGCATTATGAGCCGTAACCTGGCCCCCCCCCCCCCCTCACAGAGGTGCAGGAAGTGATGGCCTGTGATCACTTTACATTTAAAGGATATTATCTTTACCATCACCAGGGAAGGCACCCAGAGAGATAGGCAAATCAAAACAAACCACTGCCTAGTTTAAAAAGTAGACCAAAGCCTCCAATGTCAAAAAAAAAACTCCCCCTATCTTGAGGTTATCTTGAGATGATTTCGGGGCTTTTTAGTGTCACCGCGGCCCGGTCCTCGACCAGGCCTCCACCCCCAGGAAGCAGCCCGTGACAGCTGACTAACACCCAGGTACCTATTTTACTGCTAGGTAACAGGGGCATAGGGTGAAAAAAACTCTTCCCATTGTTTCTCGCCGGTGCCCGGGATCAAACCCGAGACCACAGGATCACAAGTCCAGTGTGCTGTCTGACCGGCCGACCGGCTCCCTGCCTGACCGGGGGGGGGGGAAACAGCATTATTCTTTTGGTCTGGATGTTATCTTCATCTGTAGTTATCACCTTCCTTTTAACTACAGTACTTGTGACTCTGGGGTTCCGAAGGGGTTCTGGATCTTGGTTTGTTAGGACGAAGGTGCATCTCCTTGAGTTACTGGATATTCCTCCCTCTACCCCTGGTTTGCCCTGTGTTTCTTTGAGCTCGGGAAACTTGCTTTGTAAGATGGCTCGGATAGCCACCAAGAGGTGCCCTCCTAAAAATATAAAATTGATCGTAAAGAATCATTTTCCCAAAGAGCTTCCCCTCATTACGTCCCTGGGCTATCTCACCACAGGGCAAAAACAGGCAAACCACAGGAAAAGGGAAGGAGTATCCAGCAAGCTAAGGGAATGTATCCTCAGCCAAACAAGCCAACTTCCAGAACTAAAGAATCCCTGTGGAAGTCTTCTGTCGTAAGTATCTAAAATAAAGGTGATGGTCATAGAGAAAACATCCCAGGATCAAAGGAACAAACTCCCTCCCACCCCCTATATTAGAAGATGAGCTGGAAGCTCCTCAACCCTACAGCCAGAAGTGCGAGCCAATAGAAACATAGCCAATAAGACCAAAGTCTGTGATTGTCAGGAGTCATCTTTGTGCACTAAATGACTGAGGTGGTCATGGTGGGTTTTAGAGGCCTGGTGTGATTAAGTGTGGCTTGAACCTACCACTGATTAAGCACATACCCGTTCTCACACTTTCTTAGTCAATATTGACTTATTAAATAATATGTGAATAATAATATGTTAAATAATAATATGTGACGTACTAATTTATTGTGAATATTTTAGTTTACCTTGAAAAGCTTCATAGAAAATACTGACCTTACCTAACCTTCTTAGTATGTTAAAATAAGCATCTTATTGCTTCATAATTACAATTATTACTTAACCTATACCTATGGAGCTACTAAGGAGGAGAATTTAATTACATTCACTGCTTGACTTTAATTTTTGTATCAACCACCAAAATTACATTGAATGTTTTAACTTTTAGATGTCATTTTCCAGCCTGAAGTGCTTCTAAAGAGCTCGTGTGTATCGCTATCAAGCCATGAAGCAAGACTGAGACGAAGAGGAGAGAAAGTCGGACGAAGCAACAAACGAAAGGAAACTAAGCAACAGCAAGAAAAGGACACGGGCCTTGGTATGTTGAACAGTGACGGAGATAGACATGACAGTGGAGGGTCAGGAGATGCTGAAGGAAAATGTCGTGATGCTGAATCCCTGGGCATGGACTTGGAAGACTTTGGAGATGTTTCTCAAGAGGAACACGAGGATTGCAGCGATGGAGAAGCTGGCTGCCTTAACTCTCCAGATTGTGAAGTAGATGAAATAATTAGACTTTCACCAGAGAAAAATGCAAATACTAACAATATACCTTACACTGTGCAAGTGAAGGAAGAACCTTTGGATGTAATTGATTCTTCTGCTAATAAAGACTTAGATCCTGATATACAAGTGAAAGAAGAATCAGAGGGTGAATCAGGTGATACTCTGAGACAATTACTGGCATTGGAGACTGTTGCCAATGCAGGAGTAGCAGATGATGATGCAGAAGTGATTTGCACCGGCGAGAGTACGAGACTGACGGCACACGTTGGAGACGCACAAAGGGGGTCAAATTCCGCCAGTCAGGTACTTTAATAGTTTTGTTTTGAAATCATCTTGGATGATTTGATGTTATGAAATAATATTTTTAATCATTTCTAGATAGGCCACATTACTAGACTCCATGTACAGTCTACCTTTGCAAGGCCATTCCACATTTCATAAATGTTTTATTTAGCTAAGTGTATGTAGACAATCTGTTCTGAAAAGAATTAATAATTTGAAGGCATTTGCTAAGGGTTTGCTTTGGCGACAGGTTACCACAACGGAAGAAGATCGGGGCTCGGCCGCAACGCCTGAACTTGAAGAAGAGGAGAGGAACCCCGGTGCTGAAGCAGAGGAGGGCGCAGAAGATATGGAGGCAAAATTACAGAAAATCCGTGAAGGTTTAACCCTCAGTACTGTTGGAGGGATTACCATTGGTGAATTGTACCTGATGGTGAGATTTGATGACCTTTCTTATATGTATTTTCAATTGCATAGTTACCTGATATTGAAGCAAGTCTTTGAAAGCAATCACATGAGCTGTGAGCAGCTACCACCAACATGAAAGACTGGTCAGAGCCCAGGCCATGGAGACGTTGATCCCCGGAAACGACAACAGGTAGTTGACAAGTTGATAGGTAGTGTGAATCGCAGTATTGCTAACATGGGACCCAGTGGGCCTTGAAAATTACCAATATTGCATGAAGCATAAATTTTTTTATCTGCTCTTGAATAATTAATATTAATTGTTCTTGTTCACGTGTGTTGTAAAGTGAATTTTTGCAATTTTGTTCATAATTTTGGGAGGGCCTCCTTCAGTAGCTCCACAAAGTTAAACACTGGTGTTGCCAGTCATTAGGAAATTGCGACAGGCCTCTGAGACTCACCCTGACCTATCAAGAGCCAGATGTGGTGGCAGATTATCACTTGCTCTCTGTGCCTCTGTGCGGGGGGAAGGGCCAGGTCTACACGGTGATGTACGTCGCTGGTTTGACCTTCTCCTCACCTGTTCGTGTCTTGTCTTTTTGACATGTCTTTACTACCATCTTCATGGCAAGCAGGTGGTTTCTTTGATGTGGTCTGACCTGCATTTTTTTTCTTGATGACATGTGATTTCATGGCTTTTTCTTTCCCATCGTTGTTGTTTGTCGGTTTTCGAGCATGTGGTACTCTCCCTTCTTTCTTGACTGTTTCTTGATCGACACCTCGTGCCAAATGTTGTTGCCTCATATCATACGGTGCTATAGGAGCCATTGCATCTTGCATTTGGTGTCAATATTACCTTGGAGCTGTTTAAATTAATGTCTCTTAACTTCTCCTGTTAGCTCTTGTCTTTCAGGTCTAGAAGCCATTTAGATGCACGTCTTTGCACCTTTTCCAGTTTGTTGATGAGGTTCTTAAGCTACAGCACCATACAACTGCTGCATATTCCAACTTTAGTCTTATAAAGTTCATGAGAAACGTCTTTAGTATTTCACCATCCATCCATCTGTGTCTCAAAGGCTTAGTGCAATTTCCTAAGATTTGACAATAACTGTACTTATGCTTGGAGAGCTATTGAGAGGCTTATCAGAAAAGGGTGTTCCATTATATTCAATATTTATTTTTTTAATTGTTTAATGCCGTACAGTATATCCTGGGGTCAAAGGCCAGTCACATGTTGAACTCTTCAAATGGCTTTCTGCTTATAGTCCTGCCACCTGTGAAATGAGTGATATATTTTGTTAATTTTAAAGTATTCAAAGTTTTAAAATGCTAACTCCGAATTTGTTTTCATTGAGGGCCCCAGTCATGTTATTTAGTCACATGGTATATATTTCAGGCTCGTATGTACCTTATACTTGGACTTGGTGCTAGGCAGTCTGAAATTCAAGCTGTGAAAACTATTACAGTAAATCGGGAATATAAAGGTTATGGTGTATTTGTATCTGGAATGGCAATATAAAATATTATGGTAGTCTGTTGACTGTTTGCAAGTTAATCATTCATGGGCACTATTATTGTTGACACAGATATGACGGAGCTCTCCAGGTTTTCCAGGAAAAAAGTTAACAAAAATATATGAATAATTAAGCATTCATATCTGTAATTGTGCTCCTTTTGAAGAATAATGTAGGAACAGTATGGAACAGTTTTCAAAGTTACCAAAAGAATTAAATAATCTATTTTAACACTTTGGTGGTCTGCTTCTCTCTGTATTCCTAACCATAAATGGTCTGGTTTTCCCAGACCTCTCAGACACGTGAAAGTTTTTTACGATCATTTTATGTTTTCTAAGTTATTTATTGGTTACAACTATAAATTTGGTGTCAAAATTTTCACAAATGAATGCTCTAGGGAATAGGTATGAAAACAAAACTGTATTTTTAATAGATTATGTATGACATCAATGTATATGTGAATGAGTAGCAATTGGATAATGTGTCTTAGCGCCATCGGAACCTTTATTGTCAGAGTACAGATGTGCTAAATTAATAACAAAATATGCTAAATTATAAATTCATTTATAACTGAGACACGCTTCTCTGTTTTCATACTTATGGAATGTGTTATTTTAATCAATTATATTTTGTTCTTATCTTCCAGTTTGGTCAGAACAAAAAAATTTGTCTTGAATATGAATTTGAAGATCCAGTGCATGAAATGAAAGATAATGGAAGTAGCAGTGCAGACTTTGAGAGTCCCACAAGAATAACCAATGCAGCTGATTCTTCTGATATGTTGGCAAGAAAAGCTGTAACTGAGGCTGGAACATCTGACATTCCTGGTGCTAGTATGGCTGCTACCTTAACTGTAGAGAGAGAAAAATTGCATCAAAACAGAAAGAAAGAAAGTGCAAAGATATCTAAATTAGAATTAGAGCAAAATAAAGGGGAAGAAAGAGGTTCTGATGTAAATATGTTTAAAGAAAAACGGGCAGCAGTAGAGAACTTATCGGGAATGTTGGCTCAGTTAGTTGCGATGGCTCGGGTGATATTGTCCAAGTCTTCCACGGAGTCTTGCCTCTGTGGCCACATTTGTGGTAGATCCGGAAATGCAATGCGTAGTCCAGCAAGTGGACGTTCCCACGGAACACTAGGTTTTGGACGAAGTCCGGGACATGCAAGAAGTCCTCGGACTGGCAAAGTAACGACGGCAAGTGGGCAGATTCCTGGCATTAACAGCCCGGGTGCCACATCGTCGTCATCTGCATTATTGAGTCCATTACTTGCTAAGCCTCTCAGAGACCGCGTTAAACCTTCCTCTGCAAAACGATTGATTCCTGAACTTCCAGATCAACCTATCTCAGTGGTAAGATTTAATTCTTTACTATTAAGATTTATTATAAGATTATTATTGGTCACCAGTCTAGGTAAATGGATATTTTACCCATTTCCCTACATAGTTTATAGTGGTATAATCATCTTGAGATGATTTCGGGGCTTTAGTGTCCCCGCGGCCTGGTCCTCGACCAGGCCTCCACCCCCAGGAAACAGCCCGTGACAGCTGACTAACACCCAGGTACCTATTTTACTGCTAGGTAACAGGGGCATAGGGTGAAAGAAACTCTGCCCATTGTTTCTCGCCGGCGCCTGGGATCGAACCCGGGACCACAGGATCACAAGTCCAGCGTGCTGTCCGCTCGGCTGACCGGCTCCCTCATGTACACATTCTTATCTTATAACCCACCATATCCACTCCAGTGATGGGGAAAACAGTGAACATTGTCACAAGATTGAATCTAGCAACATTCTTCAAATAATCCTCAAGGTGACCATATTTTTATGGTTGTTTTGGATTGTTGTATGTGCTGTATGGGCACATACTGTATGGGTATGCTGATAGATACAGTAGTTCTTCCCAAGTCCACAACTCCCAATAATAGCTCCCTGCAAACAACATACTATATATACCCACTGGGTTTCCCTCTGAATTTTTTACTTATCAAAAAAGTAACCTGCATTCTGGAAGGGGGATGCAGTGATATTTGGGTCATTTTTATCACTTATTTACACCATTTTTTTTTTAATCATCCTTTTTTAGAAATGCCAATCAGTGGCTCCTTGTTGCTAGCTGCAGTGAGATAGCAAAACACACATTACAACCAGCCCATTACATGAGGGAGCCGGTCGGCCGAGCGGACAGCACGCTGGACTTGTGATCCTGGGTTCAATCCCTGGCGCCAGCGAGAAACAATGGACAGAGTTTCTTTCACTCTATGCACCTGTTACCTAGCAGTAAAATAGGTACCTGGGTGTTAGTCACCTGTCACGGGCTGTTTCCTGGGGGTGGAGGCCTGGTCAAGGACCAGGCCGCAGGGACATTAAAAGCCCCGAAATCCTCTCAAGATAACCCTAGGAGTCATTAATAACCAATTGGAGACCAAAGGCCATAACCTGGCCTCCTTGCAGAAACAAACCCTCAGTAAGGAAGCAAAGCAAAATGGACACAAAGTAAACACTGTAGCAAACAAATCTGCAAATAATCCACTTAGTAGTTAGATCATATTCCTTGGTTACAGCTGGCCACCACTAGGGGGCAGCATCATGTCAACACTGATGAGTCCTTTGCCTGATGTCAGACACATCTGACTTGCTCCTTGAGTCACAAGCTCTTTGGGCCCCAGGTTTTCTAGACAGGTGTTTGCTATCCTTTGAATTCTGTCCTGTGGGACCCATTTGCTTGTGGATCTTTTCTGTATTTAGTGTTTGCTATCCTTTGAATTCTGTCCTGTGGGACCCATTTGCTTGTGGATCTTTTCTGTATTTAGTGTTTGCCTCACATGCGTGTGTTTACAAGCTTCATTTTTGGGAACTTTGGAACTGTTCATCTCTTGCTGCTTGTGTTCAGGACTACCCTTCACTATGATGTGCGTTGATTTTGCTCTTGTCTTGACAGGGTTGTTGCTTTGGTGGGTTTAGATGTTTGTCCCTTAGAGGCTGACTTCCCGTGTGGGGTGCCTCGCCCCGAGTTGTGCAGGGTCATCGACTCTGCTTCGAGGCTCAGAGATTGGGGGGAATTCTGGGGCTATTGATTAATGGGTGCAGTAGGATTTGCATGTTGACACTTCACAGCTGCCGTTATCACTTGTGCTACATTTGGTGTCGGTTCATCAAGCAAGTGTGTCTAGTGCTTGGGTGCCTTGGTCTTTGTCTTTATGGCTGGCAGGCCTCGCGGGTCTTTGGTGTGGCTCATCTTTGAACAGCCCACCGAGCCCAGACTCACTCCTTGTGAGTTTGAGGGATGTTCATAGGTTTTGCTACATTCTGTTTGGTAATTGAAGTGTTTCCTCTAAGCAACCTGTTGAGTGGGTATTAACCTCTGCCCCAAACCTGCAATGTTTGGGTTTGCTGGATCTCTAGTTTAGAGCCTCCATGTTTTGATTTACTGAACTGTACTTGATTTCTGGAATGAAGAATCTTCACAGACTGCAGTTGCTTGGGTTCATTTGCTCATTTTGGTGTTTTTGGGGCTTGATTTTTGAGTGGTTGTCTCCATGATTGGCCCTTTCTGTGGGGAGCCCCATCATCTCCCTGAAGCTATCACACTGATTAAGTGCCATACTAAAACGTGTCATCAGTCTCCAAAAGATGTTTAGGGCCTGTGATAGTCGTGATTTACACTTGATGAATAAAGAATTCCACAAAACCACTACAGTGGAGGTGACTCCAACTGCATTAGCATAAGAACTGCAGGCGATGAGTCACAGTAACGTGGCTGAAGTATGTTGACCAGACCACACACTAGAAGTTGAAGGGACGATGACGTTTCGGTCCGTCTTGGACCATTCTCAATCGACTTGAGAATGGTCCAGGACGGACTGAAACGTCGTCGTCCCTTCACCTTCTAGTGTGTGGTCTGGTCAGCATAAGAACTGACCAATCTGACCCTGGAAGGTGGTGAGCCGCCTCCTCCCCTCCTCTGACAGTGTCGGAGAAGGTGAGGAGAATGAGCTCAAGCTAGTTTTGAGAGATTGGATTGTTTGTTTACATAGTTGAAAGAGTTAATTAGGTTGGAGTATACCTGGAGAGGGTTTCGGGAGATCATCTACTCCCCGAGTAGGGGCCAGGCTCGACTTGTGATAACTTGATCCAACAGGCTGTTGCTTGGAGCTGCCCGCAGACCCACATATCCACTGTACCTTGGTTGGTCCAGCACTTCTTGCAAGAACCTGTCCAAGTGCCTCTTGAATACATCCACCTTTGTTCCAGCAATATTTCTAATGCTTGCTGGAAGGGTGTTGAACATAGGCTGGTTTTTAGGCTTTGGTCTCCTTTGAATCCAGCAGTGGTTTGTTTTGACTCACTGATTTTCTGGAATGAGAAAATTCTGCCTTCCCTGATGAGGTGGTGAAATTTCACTGCTCCCTGTGTGTCTGTGAGGGGCCAAATTCTGGCTGTGGTCTCTGGCAAGCCTAAAGAACTCCACAGCCGATGCAACCTGGTAGATGGGAACCATGTCAGGGTCAGGAAGCCACAAAGGACTTACCTTTGTAAGCTGTGTGTTTGGCAAATTGCTATTGGTTGAAGATAAGGTATGTTTCATTGTTTTCCCTAGTTCAGTTGAATTAAATCAAACTATTTTAACATTCATAATATTAATACAGTATATGATTAAACTTTTTTGTTTTTAAATGCCATTTTGTTGCCAACAGAGGGATGAAAGGACAGATGAAGGTAGTACTGGAAGCATAAGTGGTGTGGAGGTGTCGTTCCTTTCACCTGTGTCGTGCACAGTCATCCCTTCCATTGCCACAACCACCATATCCACCAGTCAAGAAACTGGTCACCTTTCTACACCCGCTGTAACGACAGGATCATCGGCCCCAGTAACAGGACTAAGGGCAGTACTTGGGGGTGGAGGAGAGGCTGGAGAGTTCAAGGTTCCTCTTGGTCCAGCACCTCGCCAAGTTCATGCCCAACAGGCCAGCTTTAATGCACAACTTAGTGTAAGTACTCGCCAAGTTCATGCCCAACAGGCCAGCTTTAATGCACAACTTAGTGTAAGTGCTACTTGTGTGTAGACTGAGTAAGCTAAACACCAATGCAAACTTCACCCCAAGTTGCAGGAGTAGGTAGAGCTTGACTTGACCGTGGTTGGGGTATAACTGTCCTGAGACCTGGAACTTCAAGAACAAGAGGTCATAGATTTAAGCTAACTAAACAAAGCTTCAGAAGAAATAAAAGAAAATTCACTTTTGTAAACATAGTGGTGGACGGTTGAATCAAGTCTTATAAGTGAGAAGGTAGTGGGGCTAAAGCCATTAGTAATATCAAAGTGTTATATAACTGTGGTTATCTTGAGATTATCTTGAGATGATTTCGGGGCTTTAGTGTCCCCGCGGCCCGGTCCTCGACCAGGCCTCCACCCCCAGGATGCCGCCCGTGACAGCTGACCAACACCCAGGTACCTATTTTACTGCTAGGTAACAGGGGCATAGGGTGAAAGAAACTCTGCCTATTGTTTCTCGCCGGCGCCTGGGATCGAACCCAGGACCACAGGATCACAAGTCCAGCGTGCTGTCCACTCGGCCGACCGGCTCCCTAAAGATGTGCTGGAAAGATGGGACACCACAAGCATAGTTCTCATCCTGCAACTACACTTAGATAATAACACACATAGTCACTCACACTCAGTATGAGGTATTTCCAAGTATTCATTGTGGTAGCAGTTAACGTAGGTGCAAGCTAATAATATTATGTATATGCAGCCTAGCCTTCAACATACCAGTATACATAATAAACATGAAACAGCAGGTACTCTTATATCCTTAACCCGAATATACTGTTGATATAAAGAATACAGGTAATATACGACTGAGGTCGGCCGAGCGGACAGCACACTTGACTTATGATCCTGTGGTCCTGGGTTCGTTCCCAGGCGCCGGCGAGAAACAGTGGGCAGAGTTTCTTTCACCCTATGCCCCTGTTACCTAGCAGTAAAATAGGTACCTGGGAGTTAGTCAGCTGTCACGGGCTGCTTCCTGGGGGGTGGAGGCCTGGTCGAGGACCTGGCCGCGGGGACACTAAAGCCCCAAAATCATCTCAAGATAACCTTAAGATAACTTACCTCTCTCCTCCCATACTCGTCTTTCAATTGGAGATACTGTTGCTGATTAGGAAGATGTCGGCAATGTGACAAGTTGGCAGTTGTTTACCTGGCTAAGCTGCCAACCTGCGGAGGACTCGTCCTATTGCCTGTTCTCAATACTTGTTGATCTGTGTGAGGGAAAAGCCAAGGAGCCATAGCATTTAGTATCTTACAGAAGTTTTCGCAATTCATTTTTATTATAATACTGTATTTAAATTTTGGAAGAAAATATTTTTTCCAGAGTTTAAAGGTATGTTAAAGATTTCTTTCCTGAAAAATCACAACTTTCAGCAAATGTTAGATTATGGCCCCTGATAGTTCATGCAACTTATTTATTAATTTGTTCCATGTTGTAGAAACTACTACCACGGTACAACAACCGACCAGGACGACGCGTGGTGAGGAAGAACGTGGTAGTTCAGCATCAGTTGCCACTACTGCCCAAGGCTGTGATACAACCTGCAGGTGTTGTCACCATGAATGTTCTCAAAAATCCATCGTATGATAAGGTAAATTTAAGCACTTTATATTTGTTTATTCGTACATTTTAATATAAATTATGGTTTCTGGATTCCCCTTATGGTTCCCTGAAGCTGTATACACCAATACAGTGCCATACCACTAGGTGCCATCAGTTGCTGAGTTATATAGGGAGCCGGTCGGCCGAGCGGACAGCACGCTGGACTTGTGATCCTGTGGTCCCGGGTTTGATCCCAGGCGCCGGCGAGAAACAATGGGCAGAGTTTCTTTCACCCTATGCCCCTGTTACCTAGCAGTAAAATAGGTACCTGGGTGTTAGTCAGCTGTCACTGACTAATTTGGATGCAACATAATAAGATTTTTCATAGAATTTGAGTAAATTTCCATTTTATTTTATTAGAATTTCACAAATTCATTTAAGGCTTTTTGTTTCCAGGTACAAAGTTTAGAAGTTGGTCGCAGCAGTGGCTATATTTCCATAGCCCCATCCCTCCATGGTGTGGCTGCTTCAACAGATGCCTTCACTTCGGCAAGACCTCAGTCACTGTCATCCTCCTCTACACATCCAATCAGGAATCCAATCATCCAGCCACTGCAATCCCAAGTCGGTCAAAATGTGGTTGCTTCACAAGTTCAGTTATCTGTCGTGCCACATAACCTACAGCAAGTACCACCGGCCATAGCACCGTTACCTGCAGTAACCAATGCTATTTCCGTTAATATATCTGGTCAGCCACTTTTTACTGTGGAGATGCCAGCTTCTGTTCCTGTGCCACCGCTTATTGGAGATTCAACGAGCAAACTTTCATCGGGTCTTCTGGAAATGACTCATTCTGCGGCAATGAACACGATTAGCAGTAATATCACCTCCACTCCAGTATCCGCTTTGAAAAACACCACCTCTGTGAATGGATTGTTAAGCTCGATGGTTTCACAAGCTTTGAGTGACTTACCGGATTTGAGTACACCACCAGGAACGCCACAACCAAGTCAATCCAGCAAATCTCTAAATTGCAGTGGGAGTGTTAGCTTTGTAAGAAACTTGGGAGATATCGGCTCTTCCATTATATCAATAGCTGACCCATGTCCACAGATGCCCTCTTCCTCACTTTTTAATTCGGCTCTTTCAGTGGAGTCCTTACCTAGTCTTGGCAGTGAGATGATGACCAACAACTCCCTAGTCACCACTTTACCACATTCACTATCCTCTACGCTTTCACCATGTTTATCTTCATCGTCACCACCACCAACTTCTTGCGTCACATCAGCACTCTCACCCATCTCCACACTGCTCACTAATGTTAGTACACATCATTTACAGCTATCCTCTCCCCCATCTCATACTAATTCATTTACCTCTCTCCTCAATACACCAACAGCACCTTCCTCAAATAGTATACCCTCCACGCCCATCTGCTGTATATCGCCGTCACCACCCTCTATTTCTTCTCTTTTATCCTCCTCTTCCCCAGACTTAAACAAAAGTTTCACAACTATTCTTGCTTCCAGTGATCAAGAAAATTCTTCTATGGTTGCTGTCTCTTCAGCTAATGTCCCAGAGCTCCATATTCCAGAAGGTAGTGTTAATCTACCTCTCCTGGATATCTCTCTTGGAGGTACAGTCACTATAACAGACCAGGCAACTAATCTTCTCAGCACTGATCCTCATTCATCACTGGTTGATCTTGCATCCACTACTGTCACCTCCACTCCAATGAAGTCGTCACCTGCCATGTCCACCATGATTGGCATGAACTCCATGCAGGAGACTAGTAGCGACAAGCTTTTAGATATAACGCTGGGGATTTCAAATTCAAATTCCAGCTTCTCTAGTAAGTATTGTGAATTTTATGGTACAATTAATTCATGCTTCATTTATGTTTGAAGAAGCTATAAGCTATTGAAAGAAGAATATTTGCAGAGAAAGAAAATAATTTTTCATTAATATGCAGTTCGTCAAAATAAACACTTTTTAATAATCATTTAGGGAAGGAAGGGGGTGGTAGGAGAAAAGCACACAGAAACTGTATTGGAGGGGACCTACATTCCCTCCAATGCGTTATGTGTGGTTTACTCCGAGGCTGTGGGTCCCCCTTCTTCCAGCCAGAGGTAGTACTCCCTTCCCTAAAAAAATAAAAAAAATAAAAACTTTTTAATAATTAAATATTTGCTTTTTTTCAGGCTTACTTGCTGCTGCAACCCAGCCGCGTTGTTTAGACTCGTCCCTCTTGGATATTCCGTCTATTGTGGGAGACAACAGTAATGGAAGAGTGAATGGTGCAGATGGCAGTAACATGTCGGCAGCTGGAATATCTGGCTTCCCTGCACTTTCCACCACACCTCCCTCACCGCCTTCTTCCCCTTCACGCCTTCTCCAACAGTCAGACAATCAGTGGCTTAATAGTGAAGTGAACGATTTCTCTTTCTCCAGTTTTCTCGGTCATTTTGAGTCACCAGTGAAAAGCTCAAGTTCACGTGGGTCTTCTCATGCTACGCCATCGGGCTCGTTCGTGCCTAGCCTTAGTTCAGTCTACAATGAAAACAGTGTAGACTTCACCGCAACATTTGCAGAAATGAAAGCGCAGGTATCAGGAGTGTTTAAACAGTAATTAATTTGCTGAAACTTTTCTTTACAATAAGTCTAGATAATCACTGTATATATGAGTGAGTGATGTTTGTTTTAATGAGAGTGAATGCGTGTATTTATGTGAATTTCAATATATTTTTAAATGTTAAAATTTTATGAAAACTTTTACAATGGACTGTGCTTTATAATTTCAGTTTAATGAAAGAATTAATGCTGTATTTCTTGGAAAGTTACCAACTCAGTATATTCTATGTAATAGCTATATAGACCGGACACAAATAAATTCACTGAAAGTTAGGTATTTTCAAATATTTTAAATACAGTAATGTCTTGCTGCTTTTTAATACTCAATGCATGTATGTAACATTTCTGGAAGAAGCTCTTCAGTTGCTCACTGAGCTTAGCTCTGGTACCACCAAGCCTTAGCTAAACGTATTTGACTTAGGAGTCCCATCCGTTGCCTTTTCAGAAGCCAGGACCAGACCCTGGCTTGCTCTACAAGTTACCTAGTAGGCTTGCCCACTTACAGTTAGTAGTGCAGATTCTAATCCCCCCATTCCCCAGTTTATTAGTTTTTTTCAAGAGGAAATTTACTAGTATTTGGTCTTCAATGCTTTTACCCTATTTCAGCTGGCTTTCTCTCCTGCTTCTGCCTTGGCCAAATTAATTTAGCCTATTAGTTTGTTTCAAGTTGCAAGTACAGTACTCTGATGCCAACTCATTTTCATCGTCACTGGCTATTTTATTTTTCATCTGCCAACCCCGCCACTGTTTGAGTGCCAAGTGTTTTCCACATAATTCACAGCTGTTTGTTCAGATAGGGCATCTCGCACTGTATCATCTACATACTAGAGTTGCAATTTATTACTAGCTGTGCATGTGTTAAATTGGTGAATAGGTCTTTGGGACAGCCGCATCTTAGGTTGGCCTTAAGTTTGGTTGCTGGCTCAAATGGCTATAGGGCTAGTGGAGAAAGTATTGGGGGCTATTCCCTCTGAGAATGTCTGGTAGCAAGAGGGCTTAAGCTTCCTTGCCGATTTCCTGGACTTTTGGGGCCAACAGTTTCGGCTTGCCTGGTTGATGTTCTAAGTGTAGCTCAACAGGACTTGGATCCATATTTTTTAATTATAGATTCTCTTCTATTTCCTGGCTGCAGTGAGAGGTCCTGGGCATTTCAAGACCTGAGCCCGCAGGTGACCTGGGCTGCCATATGACGGCAGTTAGGTGCATCACAGTTAGGGTACTTTGCAGCAGTGATCATTGGCCTTGTTTACTTAGGGATGCCTAACTGTCATCTCTCAGTTGCTTGTTTTATTGTTCCTGTGCTTTCTGATGGATTTTTCCCATTTTGGACTTATTTCTAATCCTCAGGCTTACCTTTGCCTTGTGGAGTGAGCCAGATTCTGATCTTGGCTCTCAAGATGCAACAGATAGGTCTTGGAGGCTTAAGGTGTGTATCGAAGACTTGATGGTTTTAGAGCTAAACTCGGAGAGTCACCGAGAACTCCTCCAGAAAAGGGAGTTTCATTACATTCAATACTATTTTTTTTTTTTTTTTTTTTTTTTTTTTTTTTTTTTTTACCCTGCATAGGCATTAACATATTGAGGTCACAAAGCAAAATGGAAAATTGGTTAATGTGGATGCAATTTAACAGAGAACTTTTTGTTTTTCCACAAGTTCAAAAGGAAGTTGCACATAGTGAAAGGAATACTTTTGCCTGAAATGAACATGCCGTTTCTCACACCTAGGAAAAGATGCTCTATATGTACACACCTGAGACCCCCAAAATGTAACGTAGCTCAGTGGTTAGCGCAGTTGGTTCACATCCTGTGGCAGGATGGAGACGGGTGGCCACATTTCTTTTTTACCTGATGTCTCTCTTCACATAGCAGTAAATAGATACCCAGGAGTTAGGCAACTCTCATGGGTTCCTGGACAATGGAAATTCTAGTTAAATACTGTATAATAGACTTGTAGAAATTATTCCTTCTCCTCCTAACTAGATGAAATGGATGGTCGAGCGATGATCTTGCTTCTCGCAGGTCGGCATTCAATCTCTGCCTGTCCAAATCGTTGAGCACCATTCCTTTCCTCAGTCTTATCCTAAATCCTCATCCTCATATCCCTTCCAGGTGCTATATCAGTGTTTTTTTTTTTAACCACTGTGCTGCAGGAGTTTGAAGTAAGGTTCAAAATAACAGGAATAATAAGAAATATGGACATTAATATTAAAACCAATCCTTTGAAATCCATGATCAACATTATTTAAAAAAATAAAACACTGTTCAGTTTGACCCGAGCTGAAAAAGGTTGACAAGTTGAAAATCTCTGTGCTCTAGTCGTAATGGCTTAGTGCTTTCTCCTGATAATTGCCTTACCTTACTGTATCCTCTCCCAACACATTAACTAAAAATATTGATGACCAGACCACACACTAGAATGTGAAGGGACGACGACGTTTCGGTCCGTCCTGGACCATTCTCAAGTCGATTGTGAATGACAATCGACTTGAGAATGGTCCAGGACGGACCGAAACGTCGTCGTCCCTTCACATTTTAGCGTGTGGTCTGGTCATCATACTTTAGCCACGTTATTGTGACTCATCGCCTGCAACTAAAAATATTAGTTCTGTGGTGCAACTAATTATTGAGTTGAAAGAATTTAATGTATGAGTGCTGTATTTAATCATGCTGTTGCTTTGAAGGGCAGCTGATGTATAAATTTAAACGAGTGATCATGGGTCATTATTTTTAGACACAAATCAAGTAAATTTCACATCATTTTTAATTTAATGCATTATACAGTATGTGTTTCTGCTTCTAAGGGCCAAAACTTTCATCACAAAATCAGTAAATGTTTTTATTAATTTGATTTAGTATCAATATTTCTTCCCAATAATTATAATATTTTCTTTAGGTGAAGCTGTTATAATTGTCCAAAACATGTTGGAAGTGTCACTTCTCGTACACCAACTGGATTTATTAACCAAATTTGTGTTTTGATATCTTTAGGAAGAAAGAAAAGCTCTTATAAATAGATGAACAGATTTGAGAAAATACTTTAGGCACGGATATCTTCTTTTGCACCATTTGTAAAAGTAAATTATGTAGATTTTTGTTAGCCTGAGATAAATTAGCATACATGCTGAGACCAATAATTTTGTTAAAAACTGAAATACTTTGTAGCCTCAAATAATGTGCTGTGATCAAAATACGACACAATGTTATATCACATGTAGCCCAGTTTAGCCAGGAGTTGTGCCAGGCTGGGAACTGTACCATGGCAGAGAGGTTGTAAAGTCAACACATGTCCCCATTTTTATTGATAAAGGCATCTTGAGATGATTTCGGGGCTTTAGTGTCCCCGCGGCCCGGTCCTCGGCCAGGCCTCCACCCCTAGGAAGCAGCCCGTGACAGTTGACTAACACCCAGGTACCTATTTTACTGCTAGGTAACAGGGGCATAGGGTGAAAGAAACTCTGCCCCATTGTTTCTCGCCGGCGCCCGGGATCGAACCCGGGACCACAGGATCACAAGTCCACCGTGCTGTCCGCTCGGCCGACCGGCTCCCTTTTGGCATTGGTGGCATTACAGCCTCCTCTAATTCTTAACACTTCCAATGCTATTAACCCTTGCACTGTGCCAGCCAACATATTAAGAGGTATGCTGGTGCACCAGCCGACATGTGATTATGTTAGTACAGTATATCGTTAGATTCGAAACACCCGTGCATACAAGTGGGCACATGTTTGCTTTCTCAGGCCCCCCAGTAACCATCCCCCATCTTGAAAAGACATCCAGAGTCTCTCACATTCCTTCCATGGGCTTAGTATGTGGCCAAGATTACAAAGGCCTATGAAACGTTCCTATGACTTTGGGAACGTGTAGGGCAGCCATACTATGAGCCACTGAAATTTGAACAGCAGCAAGTGAGTGATTACAATTATATATTTCTGGCAAAGTGTGTGCTATGTCCAATTATAAGATTTAGGCTTATATGTGGACTGGTATAATGCAAAAATTCAAGCTTCAAAATAAATGATTACATATTATTAATTAAATACAGTAGTTATATAGGCCTGGCTATTGACTCTTGGCGCTAGAGTGTTTTTAAACAACCTTTCTCATCCCAAGTGATAGAAATTAAACATTGGTACTGTATCTCAACTTAAGATTGTTCATGACAGTTGAGCATTGTTCATTTCCCACCCATATTGATGTTGCTTCTATAGCAGCAGCAGATGCTGCTGCTGCTATAGAAGCCATTAAAGACAGTACTCAACCCACATATCTGAAAGTGAAGAAACGGTGACATTTCAGTCTGTCCTAGATGGTCCAGGATGGATCGAAACATTGTTGTTTTTTAATTTTCAGGTGTGTGGGTTAAGTATCAACTCTTCAATAACTTAATGTGGAGGTACAATAGTTTAGTGGCCTGTCCGCTTATAAAAGTGGACAGGCCACTGTCCGCTTTTATCCTTCCTATTATCTTGGCATCATCAGCAGACATATTCATATAACTCTGTATTCCATCTGGTAGATCATTTATATAGACAATGAGCATCACCGGGGCACGAACTGAACCCTTTGGTACTCCACTTGTGACATTTCTCCAATCCGATACATTGCCTCTGATTATTGTCCTCATTTTTCTATCAGTTAGTTTAGTTCATTTATTATGCACCTCATACCCATCTTGTGGGCGGTAGTGGAGAGGGTTACAGAGGCACATAATGGGCTCAGGGACTGAACCCCACAATTCATTTAGCTAAGCAAGTTACAATCTGGATGAGCTAGTTACAAAATTCAATGTAAGTCGTCACGTCAACAATGGTTTCGAGATCGACCTCTAGTACAGGTTCTAAATTAAGCAACTGACATATGTGGAGAGCTAGTGTCACAATTTATATGTTTGTCCTGCACACCGCCCCCCATCCAGTGGGCAGCGGTGGATAGGTTACAATCACTCAGTTACTACCTACAGTTAGCAAACTGGGGATATTTGGCTAAAATTTCTGGTAGCAGATCATTTTGAATGAAATATTTACACATCGCTGGAACATTGGTTATAGAATTGTCTCTAAATTCACGTATCTTTTCGCAATCCATCACATAGTGACGGAGGGTGTGCGAATAATTTTGTTGACACAGTTTACAATCTATCGGTTAGAAAATTAAGCAAGTTGATGTCGCAGGAGCAGGTTCTTCTGTTGTTGTCTAAACTCTGGGGTTCTTTGGTGGTTTATCCATAAGTTGGTATTTTACTGCTGCTTGGCTGTTCCTCAGCCAGATCTGTGTGGCACTTTGATATTTCATGCCCTGCTGTTGCTTTATTAAGCTGATCATCTCCCACAGGTCGGCCATTTTCATAATTCCTGTTCCTCATATTTCTTTGTTTCTCTTTTCTGGAAAGATGCCCTCTTCTGCTGAGGGATTGTTGGAAGCAAGCTTGAGAAGCTACTGTGCATTCCTAGAAATCAAGTGTTGAATATAATGCAATGGCCTTCTTGAAGTGGCTCTCACTTGCTCACCATTCCAGTCATGATTCCCTTAATTCAACATGGAGGATTTGGTGTTCTGTTCTGACAGCTCATGAGGGAAGCGAGCGGCAGCCATAGGTCCCTATGTGACCTGGGTTACTGTCTATTGGCAGTGGCACATCGCAGTAAGAATATGGAAATTATCAGGAGAAAGTGCTAAGCCGGTATGTCTAAACAGCACTTGGAGGGGGAGATGAGTGCGAGGATCTGGGATAGGACGGAAGGAAGGAATGGTACCCAATCATTTGGAGCATTGCGGATCAAATGCTGACCTGTATGAAGTGAAGCCGTCGCTGCACCGACCAGTCAATGTGTTGGTTCCACAGTAAAGGTAGTTTCCCCTTGGCACTGATTGTTTGCATTGTTTATCTCATGGTTACTTTTTTCTGTAAGTAATCTCTTGTTTTGCTGAATCTAACTTTTTTTTTATAGTAATCTCTAATACCCAGGCTTCCCTTGCCTAGAGTGAGCCAAGTTCTGGTCTGTGCTTCCAGAAACTTGGGGTAGGTGTCACAGGCCTGGTGTGATTTCTTAAGGCTTGGTAATACAGTACCGGTACTTAATTTCTAGGAGCTATTGAGAGCCTGCCAGAAAAGGTAATTTCATTACAGTAAATATTTGATTTTCAATACTGTACTGTAGTCAGTGTGTTGATTATATTAGTTTTCAGCAGTTAATTTTGTGTTAGCCTGTATGTGACACAAGGGGCAGTAGAATACAGTACTGTATATTGTATTATCTCAAATTTGAACAGGTGAGCTAAACTGTATAGTTGATCCATATTTGTATCTTTGTTTTTGTTAGCATTCACCAAAATTCATCAAATTATACTGTATAATTTGTTTATTAAAAATCAAACTTGGTAATCATATACGCTGAAGATACATTATTGTGGAAGTGATTTCTAGAAAGATAATATGTCAATGTATAGGGTTTGCCTAACTCATCATTGCATGAGTAGTGACTCACGATGATATGTTGCCTCATATCTGTCAAGACTATTCACCGGTCCATCGCTCTACAAATACGACATAAATAATTGATAAGCAGTTCACTCTCATTTGTGCTGTTTCTCGTGAAAAAGGGAGGGACAGATATTATACATGAAATATTTTACTTCACCATACATGTGAAACCCAATTCACAATTTAAATTTTGTTGGCTTATTTTCCTATAATTCATCTATTTACAGAGTTTGGAGATGTTTGTATTATTTAAAGCATCTTGAGTTAATGTTGATTCTTTCCTCATATTTTATCGTTCACTATTTTATTGTTTTGCTTCTGTCATTCTCGCAGGCCAAATTTAAGATGCAGAGCTTTATTAGTCAGACTTTCTATAATCTTGTGTTAAATTTTAACTATCATATGGCACAATTTATTATTTTCCTCGGTCTCTTTTCTCTAGTGGACATAGTATTCTCTTGCTTGATTGAGTATACTATCACATTTGCCTGAATTTACCCGAGGGGCCACTAACACTAGTGACCTCGACGAGGACAGAAAGGCAGCAGCTTGTCAAAGGTCTCCCCCATTTGTCCTGATGATTTTTTTCAAGCAAGATTTTAAAATTCAACAGTGTTTTGGCATTTATGGCTTCGGTGGGTGGGCAGTTTCATGGGTTTATAACCATGTGGGTGAAAAAGCTTCTGCTATTTTCAGTCCTACATTGTGGCTTGCTGAGCTTGAAACTGTTGTTCCCTTTTGTTTTTTATTTGTGTGTGATTGATATGAAATGCGTAATTCTTTAATAAACATTTAAAGTGTTACAGTCGATAGCGTTTAGAAGTATTGTACAGTGTATGAATTTTGGATGAAATCAATGTGTGGGAGCCCACTTTAACTTTAGAGATAAGTTGATTTTGAAATGCAAACATTTGATAGGATTTATCGCTTTATCT